TATATATATATATATATATATATATATATATATATATATATATATATACATACACACACACACACACACACACATATGTGAATCTATATGTGTATATCTATATAATTTTTTAAAAATATTTGTATTTATATATAGGTATATATATATATATATATGTATATATATAGTGATATATACGTATATATTTATGAAGATATATATATTATTTCGTTCTACGTGTATTTTGATATATATATATTAATATCACAATACAGTTAGAATGAAATAACACACATCTATATATTTAATAAATTTTTTAACATTTTTTTTAATTTTATTTTTTTAACGTATTTACACATTTCATTTTTTTATATTATATATAAATATATATATAACAATAATTATACATATATATTTAACCAGTATCAGTCTACATGTAATTTGATAATATATATAAAATATTATATATATATATTAATAGTAAAATACACCTAGACGGTGTACGTGTGTGTATGTATATGTGTATCAAATATTTAGATGTGAAACATAATTTAATATGAAAAAAATGGGAGAAAATAAGATTTTTTTTATTTTTTTAGGTTTACATGACATTTTAACTGTCAATGTCAATACTGTTTGCTTTTACTGCAATAAAATACACATATTTTTATAAAACAGTACCCCCTACACATATACATACACACACGTACACCGTCTAGGTGTATTTTACTATTAATATTATATATATATATATATATATATATATATATATATATATATATATATATATATATATATATATATATATATATATATATATATATATATTTACTTAGATCATATATATATGATCTAAGTATATATATTTTTTTTTTTACACTAATACATTTTATTTTCATTTTATTTCCAGCCAGCAGGGGGACCACCTGTAATTACAGGCAGCCCCCCTGCTGGCAATACAGAAGCCAGCTATCCCCGGCCATGTGATTGTGGGGTCCTCGCTAGGACCCCACTCTCACATGGCCGGGGGGCTTCGAAGAGGAGGGACGTGCCGCGGGGGGCTCCCTGGGAGTCCCCCCCACCGCGATCGCCGGCGTGGGGCCGCCGTCGACCGGGTAAGTAGGCAAAAACCGGAGGGTGTACAATTACCCCCGGCGGCGTTTAGAGCCGCCTATAATAGGGCGTAATTGTACGCCCTCCGGTCTAAAGGGGTTAAAATAAAAATAGCAATTTCTTAGTGTGTGACAAAATGTGTATGTGGGTGAGGGGTGCACTGTGTGTGTATGCAAAGGTGTACTCTGTGTTGATGGGAGTGTACTGTATGTGGGGGGTTCACCGTCTGGGATAGGGAAGAGCTTTACAATTTTTACTTTCAATATTGTTTATAAAAAAATAAATAAAAAAAAAATAAAAATGATTCTTCCCCTTTTCCTGATCTTACCTTAATTATTATTTTTAATAAATATATATATATATATATATATACATACACACACACACACCCACACATATACATACACACACACACACCCACACATATACATACACACACACACACCCACACATATACATACACACACACACACACCCACACATATACATACACACACACACACCCACACATATACATACACACACACACACCCACACATATACATACACACACACACACATATACATACACACACACACACACACACCACACATACATACACACACACACACACCCACACATATACATACACACACACACACACCCACACACACACCCACACATATACATACACACACACACACCCACACACATATACATACACACACACACACCCACACATATTACATACCACACACATACATACACACACACACACCCACACATATACATACACACACACACACCCACACATATACATACACACACACACACCCACACATATACATACACACACACACCACCCACACATATACATACACACACACCCACACATATACATACACACACACCCACACATATACATACACACACACCCACACATATACATACATACACACACCCACACATACACACACCCACACATATACATACATACATACACACACCCACATATACATACACACACACACCCACACATATACATATACACACACACACACATATATATATATATATATATATATATATATATATATATATATATATATATATATATATATATATATATATATATATATATATATATATATATATATATACACACACACACACACACACACTCTATATTTTCTAAATTTAGTTGTTCCAATTGTTTGCAATTCAGATCCCGGCGAAAAATCTCAAAACGATCAATAATTTGTTATACCATCTGTTCGGGAATAGGGGCATCAATGTCACTTAGGTGGAATTTTTGTATAATTTGTGAAAAAGGATAAAAGGGTGGAAAATGAGAATAGATCATTAATATAGTTAATAGAACTAAAGGGCCAGTAATTTATATCCAAATAGGCATTTTTCATTTTAAAGCTGATAAAGGGGTTGCCCTAGACCAAGTTACCCTTTGTAAAGGGTATGCCAAGCTTTGATGGAAGTCTTTGTTGAAAGATACATATCTGTCATCCCTTTGCACAGAGATGGAAGCAGACAGAAAATATCTTTGATTGAATAAGGTGAAGCCTGCTTCCTTCTCAAGCTAAAGAGGGCGATCACTAGCCAAGTTAAATTTTAAAGCCATCGCAGCATTTGTATAATAGAATTGAGTAAAGTCAGGCAAGCCTACGCCCCCACAGTTATTACGTTTTTGTAATATGGTAATTTAATCCTGGCAGGTTTTTTGTTCCAGACAAGAGACAAGAGGGCTGAATGTACTTTTCGAAAAAAAGATAGAGGGATCGAAAGTGGCTCTAAGACAATGTAAAATTTTAGGAAGGAGAGTCATTTTAATCAAATTGACCCTACCTATCCAAAACAATTCAAGACCTCACCACGTCTCTAGATTGTTCCTAAGATCAGATCAGACCTTACGCAAATTATAAGAATGCATCTTGGACAGTTTCTTGCATAGGTGTATGCCCAAATAAATATAGGAGTCTCTACAATCAAATTCGAACCTACCAAGGTATGAAAAAAAATAAAGTTAGCACTTGAGTTTTGGCAGCATTTATTTTATAGAATGAAATTTCGCCAACTTCTTGCAAGATCGACATCAACGGGGGCTGATTTTATTGGGTTTTTAAGAGAGAACATGATGTCTACAAATTAGCCTATTTTATGTTCCTTGTCCCAATTCACAATACCTTCGATATCTGCTCTGTTATGTCTCGTCCCATTAAACATGGAGAAGTTTTCAGAGATATAACCAGTAGCAGATACTCTAGCAGTTGGTTGGCAATATAATGTGAATACAGCCCCAATAAAGGGTTCTGGGATGTGAAAACTGGACAAAAAACTTCCCTAAGGTATCCCCAATGTATTCTATCGAACGCCTTCTCCGCTTTCAAAGAAAGGAGCAAAGAAGGTGTGCGAGACTTCCTAATAAGATAGCTCTTGACAAAACCCTGTTCAAGACAAAACCCACCTTATATCTATCAATAAGAATCTTAGAAGACGGTTAGCTAAAATCTTTGAGTAAATCTTTCTATCATTATTTATTAGTGAGAGCGGGCAAAAATTAGAGCAGACATTTGGAGTCTTGCCTGGCTTGGCTAATGTAACTATTTGCGCACACAAAGCCTCCTTTAGCATTCTCCCTGTATTCCAATAATAAGTTAATAAAAGAGGAGTAAGAATACTAGAGAAGGACCTATAGTACGCCATAGTGAAACCATCAGGTCCTGGAGCTTTACCTAATAGAATCATGACTATAGTATCCATAATTTCTTTGGAGGTAATGGGGGGAATTTAGATTTTCCAATCTTTCATTCGGCATTTTCTTGAAAGGAGCCTTATCCAGAAAAGAGCGTATTGAATCAGATGTGGGTTAAATAAAACAAACTTTGAAGGAGTCTTCCAGCAAGTTACATTTTCACCGCTCTCCAAAAGCAGCAGCAAGTTAGGAGCTTGCCAAGACTGTTGCTGGTTTAATCAGGAGGGGAATCCCCATATCTTTTCCCTGGAACATTTTCAAAGCTTGTTTTCAGCTACTTCAAAGTGTTGAACAAGTAACCAAAATCTAAAACAGTCATCCTAGGTCATTAATATTTAAACGTGACAGCTGGATGTGGTTTAAGTTTGGCTCTGTGTTCTTCATTAAACAAACCGACAAAAGAAACGCAAATATTTATATGGAAGCAACATTAAAACCTTTCCAGGACAAGAGTAAGTGTTCAGTGAACATACCAGTTTAATTAGGGATTACATTACATTACAGTGCAGTTTTGGGGAAGCTGGTACAAACTGCAGTTATTACCGTATGAATGACGGGTGTACGTCACCTCATCCACACTTACTTAATCCCAGTACAAAGAATGACATTCATCAACAACCAAACATCTATGCTCCTTAATGTTCCTTTATACCTCCCATACAAAACTTTCTATTCTAAGAAAACGGCTCATCTCCACGTCTAAGCCCTGTATTACATAATCATAGGCAGGAGATAATGGCACCAGTAAATCTGAGATTTTCTACCCATTATTATCTCACCGACCCAGCAAACGGGAGCATTTCAGCTTGTAAATAGGAATGTTCCAAGTCTGACAAATGCACAAGAGGGTTAAAGCTTTGACAATTAACTGGTTGATGGTTAGAGGTCAGTTGTAAACCCTTTAGTGTATCTGGGGGCATTTGATCTCCAGGATTTTATGAGGAAAAGCCTTGTAGCTCATGGGCCAAGACAAGAAACATTCCTCTGAACACAGAGCGCAGTTACAAATATTAGATTGTATTAATAGTCAGGCAACAGCATTAGAATTAGAGTTTCAATGCAAGCGTAAGCAGCTGTTGGTCATCACATGGTACCTTGCAAAAGGCATCCTGCATGTACTATGAAGGTATGCTACATAACATTCCTCACACAGGCCTTGGATTATTTTCAATGTCAAGGGGCCACAAGGCGTAACGTTCTGAACCGCTGAAGTGCCTAGAGTCGCCCTTAGGAGTTAAACATTCAAGACATAGAACAGTCCTACATGGCATTTACATTGTGTTGAGGACAGCAAACTGTATCCTAAGATGCAATAAAGTTTAAATACAGACGTCAATAAATCTTTTGTTTTGTGAAAACCTGCTATTTGGCAGCCTGACGTTCTATCTATAATGGTCAAGACGGCAAAACACTGCTGCATTACACATTAGAGGGGGATCTGGCTCTCTCTCACACAAAGATTTAACACCAAAGCCAAAAGCAGCTTTGTGCATTTTAGATTCAATGTTAAATGGCTCACACTCTGCACTTCCTGATTTTTAAACGTATTCAACTTGAATTCGGGCCAGATGGGAGGGGTGGGGGGGGAGTGCGCGCGCGTGCACAGACACACACAGACGAATCATAGCAGAACGTTAAAGATAAATATATATAGGTTTTTACCTCCTAATACCATATCACCACTTGAAACCGTTCCATTTTCTTGCTGTGCTAGCAAAGTATTCAAGATAATTTGCGTAGCCCCCAGTCTAGGTAGGGTAACATGCGTAAGAAATGGCAAGTTATTTTTCTTGGCATAGGTCTGGCTTGTTTCCCTTCTTTTCCTGAGAAAGCCACCTTCTGGAAACAAAATGATCCACTTACGATCCCGACTTCTGTAGTACTTTTCCAAATGTTCTTTTAAGAACACAAGTTGTTGGTCTCGAAAGGCTTTACCCTGCAATCAGAACCAAAGATCAAAAATACAACTAAGCATGTTTGACTAAAATAAAAAAATAAAAAACCTTAAACTTAAAAACAATCTCAAACTTTAAGAGTAAACAACAAAACAAGGATAAACAATATCTACATCACATAAAATTGTGTTCAAAGTATTCCTGGTGCAATTATATAAATATTAAAGTTTAAATAACCCTCTATGGTCCAAAAATGGGATTAGTCCATCATGGTTGTGCATCCCCTAAGGACCCACGTGGAATAATCTCGTTTTCATTAGATAGCTTGGGCTCCCCTCTGTCACTGGGGCCAGAATCGATGGGCCCAGACTGAACAATGCTATATTTGCAGCACTCAAAGTGAGCACTGCATACATGCGTTTAAAATGTGGATTTAAATCCCAACTGCTACAATGCAGTTTGAGCAGTGTTAGGTACCAGCTCACACCACGGAGTCTCAGTTATCAATTGATACCTGGGTCTCCCCTCTGCCAGACAGAGCCACAATCTATTAAGAACATCGCGTTTAGCCATGGAGATTCTCTTTGAGCTGCTTGCTTCAGGGAGACCCCCAGAGATTGTATATGGTCTCCATGGCACAATGCCATTTTGAGTGGTGCTGGGATATATACCTATAGATATAGATATCCATGACATATTGAAAACAGTCAGTAGATGGCAACAACATACCACTTTCTACTGTTTTAGCTAAGAATTCCCTTCAGTAATGAATATTAGCATAGAAAAATCCTAGTTATTAGGATTAAATTGGATTTGAGAATAGATTTAGGATTACGTCTGTCCACATTTACATATAGTATGCACTTATAAAGTAATTTAAATATGCATGCTACTAAAATGCTCCAAAGTGTACCATAGATCCATCTTCAATTTGCCACTGCACTGGGCAGGTAGTAAATTCAGCCTTGCATTTTCACAAAATTTGCAGAGGGTTTGAAAAAGGGGGTCATTATATACTCAGAAGATATAGCTGTGCACAATTTAGTGATTTGTATTATAGTAGCACATGTTAAATTTACAAGATAAACTGCTAAATTGCAATGTACACACACAAAAAAAACCCCCAAAAAACAAAACTATAAACTGAAATAAATTGGTGATAAAATTACTGTTTTAGAAGGCTCTAGATGGTGGTTTTAACACTATAGAGTCAGGAATACATCTGTTGCTGACCCTATATTGTCCCTTTACGGAACAAAGCAATTTTGGCATTTTTGTGCTGTGTGATGGTTTAACTGCAATTTCCACCTCTCTCATTTATTGTACCAACACATAGTATATCACTTTTTTAAAGGACAAAAATGACCAATTTGATGTGACAAAACAAGCAAACTGAAGCTGCTTTGTTTAGTGTTTAAATCAGAGTAAAGGTTACACTAAATTTTATATATATAGATTTTAAAGATAATATTGATGGTTACTCACAATATAGAACATGTTAAACTGTTCACTATAAAAATAATAGGCAGTTATTCACAACCATCTACATATGGGGCAAACACTGCATATCTCTTACACATTTCAGGAATGAACGGAAACAGGTCATGGCCCAGAGATTAACTCTAGGAAAGATGAGGACTTAGAAAAGTAACTTTTTAACAAAATATATATTGTGTACACACACAAATTAAAGGAACACTATAGTCACCTAAATTACTTTAGCTAAATAAAGCAGTTTTAGTGTATAGATCAGGGGTAGGCAACCTTTTAGCAGCACTGTGCTGATATAGGATTGTGATGTCCCGTAGCATTCCGGTCCTATTTTTTTTAATTTTTTTTTTTTTTTTAATTGAGGTGTGTATGCTGCCGTATTCTGCTTGTGTATTTATATTGTAATTGCTTTGTATCGTATTTTGTGCGTATATGAACTATTATATTGTATATGTTCATGAGTAGATTGTGGTTTCGTGTATGATACCTATGAATGTGGGCTGTGTATTGAAACATAGAAAGTGACGGCAGATAAGAGCCATTCGGCCCATCTAGTCTGCCCAATTTTCTAAATACTTTCATTAGTCCCTAGTCTTATGCCTATCCCACGCATGCTTAAACTCCTTTACTGTGTTAACCTCTACCACTTAAGCTGGAAGGCTATTCCATGCATCCACTACCCTCTCAGTAAAGTAATACTTCCTGATATTATTTTTAAACCTTTGTCCCTCTAATTTAAGACTATGTCCTCTTGTTGTGGTAGTTTTTCTTCTTTTAAATATAGTCTCCTCCTTTACTGTGTTGATTCCCTTTATATATTTAAATGTTTCTATCATATCCCCCCTGTCTCGTCTTTCCTCCAAGCTATACATGTTAAGATCCTTTAACCTTTCCTGGTAAGTTTTATCCCGCAATCCATGAACCAGTTTAGTAGCCCTTCTCTGAACCCTCTCTAAGGTATCAATATCCTTCTGAAGATACGGTCTCCAGTACTGTGTACAATACTCCAAGTGAGGTCTCACCAGTGTTCTGTACAATGGCATGAGCACTTCCCTCTTTCTACTGCTAATACCTCTCCCTATACAACCAAGCATTCTGCTAGCATTTCCTGCTGCTCTATTACATTGTCTGCCTACCTTTAAGTCATCGTATGGGGGCAGCTTGTGGAATTGTGTGTGTGTGTGTGTGTGTGTGTGTGTGGATGGATATGTCACATTGTGTGTTTGGTAGTGTATGTGTGGGGGCTGTCTGTATTATTTGTATGAGGGGAGGGTTTTTTTTACATTTCTGTGTACATCTAGCAGTGTGGGTGGCTTCCCTGGGTTCCAGTGGGGAACAGGCCGGCCAGGTGCAGGTCAAGGACAGGAGCTGCAACAATAACTGCGAGCTGCTCTACTAATGTGTTGATTCCCATTCACAAGTGCTGGAATGAAGTGCTCTGAGATCACTTCCTCTACGTGCTTCAATGCATAAATTGAGGATTGTCCTTCCCCACCTCTTCGTATTAGCAGATATCTGCAGTTTTACTGGGACTCCTGATAGGCCAGAGCCTGTTTGGCTCTAGCAGCCTTGAGTGCCGTGCAAAGGCACCTCGAGTGCCGTGAATGGCACTAGTGCCGTAGGTTGCCTACCCCTGGTATAGATCGTTCCCCTGCAATTTCACTGCTCAATTCACTGTCATTTAGCAGTTAAATCACTTTGTTTCTGTTTATGCAGCCCTAGCCACACCTCCCCTCCATGAAATTTTTTTTTTTTTTTTTTAAATGGTTTCACTTTCAAACAGATGTAATTTACCTTAAATAATTGTATCTCGATTTCTAAATTTAACTTTAATCACATACAGGAGGCTCTTGCACAAAACTTGCAATAAAGAAAGCCTAAATAGAGCTCTCTTTACAGGAAGTGTTTATGGAAGGCTGTGCAAGTCACATGCAGGGAGGTGTGACTAGGGTTCATAAACAAAGGGATTTAACTCCTAAATGGCAGAGGATTGAGCAGTGAGGCTGCAGGGGCATGTTCTATACACCAAAACTGCTTCATTAAGCTAAAGTTGTTCAGGTGACTATAGTGTCCCTTTAAAAAGTGCTGAAAGCGTGCACAAAATTTACAGATCTACTTCCTCATCGCTGGATTTGTTAATTTGACCCATCATTCTACAAGTTTCACAGACACTCGGGTGTTTATATCTGACCAAATGTGTATACTATGCAAGTCAATGAAGGTTTATGGAGGCTTCTGGTGTGGACTACTGAGGCTCAGTAATGTTGTGTACCGTTTTGTCGATGTTGCGATTTACCTTATCTGGTACATGTATCTACTGTTTACTTGCTTGATGATATTGGATCTACAGGAAACTAAAGCACTTCTCAAAAAATATCTAAAATATATCATCAGTAGTGTTCACCATTACAAGACTTTGTTTGTGAAAAATTAACCCTTAACATTGTTTTTTTTTTTCCAAGAAATCACATTTTATCTACAAAGAAAGTGATCAAGTATTCCTTTGTCCAAACATACAGTTTAATAGAAACCACGCATGAAAAAATTGAAGAAAAAAAAAAACAAAAACCTATTCTTACCTGTCGGATGAAAAAATCCCCATGTACCAAGGATACCACACCAAAATTTGTGTATTTAAATATATGGTCCATTAACCACATCATTTGTCGAACAACCTGTAAGAGAATGAATATTATTACAGAAAGGAATGTACAAGCGACCAAGACATACCAAAAACAAGATAAATCATAATTGACAGTCACCCTATATAAAAACATGGCGAAGATTGATATTTTAAAACACGCACTGGAGTGTGTTCAGGAACTCCTTTTGCCTAGAAAATGATTCCTCCTCTCACTAGGGGAAATGGCTATTATCTTGTGTGCTATACAAACATTTTACTAGTCTTACAGGTTTATTCACTAAAAAGTCCTAACAGCCTCAAACAGAGCAAAACTATCAGGATAGCAATTTAACAAGGTCTTGATTTTACAATCCAGTCTTCCAATGAGACTTAATTTGGCCCAGATTTTAGATGGAATGAACGTTTGCCAGACAGGTGAGATCCAGACCCAAATAGTTCAAATCCAGACACCGACTTATAAATAAATGAAAATAAGTCCTATTTCCCCGCATTGCAGGATTTGAAAGAATTTGTTGTTTGACGGTCAACTTTCCACAGAAACCTATAGAGCAGAGTGCCAACCAGGATGCAACTGGTTTCATTAATGGAAAAACATGAATGTATAAATTCGCACATTACTTCAAGAATGCATCCCCCTAAGCTAGGAAGGGATTTTTGCAATCTGCGCACCTGACCTTGAAAACCATGTGTATCAAGAAACAGACAGGTGCCAACTCTCATGGATTAATCCGTGCTCAAACTACAAACTCTGGGAATTGGAAGCAAACGCATGAACTTCCAAAGATTATCTTCATTAAAAAATTTTTTTATTTTTTTTAATTGTTTAGTAGAATATATTTAGAATGCCAAAAAAAAAAAATTTTTTAAAAATTAAATGATCAACTCCAACTTGGAAAGTGGCCGTTTCTGTGGGCAGTAGACGGATCATCTTGGCCGTGGCCTGTTTGAAGATATTTTATTTCACTGAGAAATTTTACTTTATCGATATTTTTAAAGTAACAGGACACAGTTAGAGAAGATTCTAGATTAAGTAGTGCTTCCCTAATTATGTTAAGTCTAGTATATTCAGCTCTAATGCTCATCCATATACCACATGTGCAATATCCATAAATAAAAGCAGCTAGGTGTAATCTGTAATGAATTGCACTAGGACTGTCAGTTGCTATATATTGAATACAAGATCATTTCTTTCGCCACTTGATACGTTTCCCCACTTTTTAAAACTTGGACATTTTCATCCAATTAGAATTGCACATGGGGCTCTCCGTTATAGCAGTCTGTAATAAGTACTCTGTGCATAAGATTAAATAGTTCATGAATTGGGATCTTAGAGGTTCCCACAGCTCCTGTATAAATTAAAGGCTGTTCTGTCTGCCCGAGGGGATACAGCAGTCATGTGTGGAACAGGGAGGGACAAATATTTGTTGAATGCAGGTGCCGAGGAGATTTAAAACCGTCTATAGTTTTTGTTTAATTAAAAAGGTTTGAAAATTTGATGCTGGCATTATCATTCCTGAAATAACTAGCACCTGGGTTGGCGCAGAGGGTGGCTTTAGTAAGATAAGCCTTGGCACAGAGTGTGGACTGGGCTCATTTACAGTTACTGTGTGTTTCTGGTGGCTCCCAAAACGGTCCAGTTTGACTTAAACTACAAGCTCCACTTCAGGACATTCAGTTAACTATTTTGGCCTAATCGTTGCCATTATCTTGGTCAACAGGCTGACAGGTAGCCAACCAGGACTTTCAAAGGTCACAGCACTGCCAGATGTTATTGCAAAGTTACTATGGTGAAAATGGGAAGGTAGAGAAAAAAAACAAACAAATGATGGCAGGTCATGCAGCCAATAACAGGACTGCCGTGCAAGGTCAGAGACTGCTGTCCAGTATTGGCCGCATGATAAAAGGTTTTACTGCACAGTTTTAAACATTTGCATTACACTTGTATCAGAACAAACGATAAGGTCATATAAAGCAATAATAATCCCATTGCTCAGTCTCTAATGCAACTCTCTTCAGAATATGCAATACTAAGTGTATCATTAGAGTCATTAAACGATAAATGAATATTTCATTGTTAACTCCAACACTCCCCTTTCTACAAAATACTCGACATGTGTTCTCGGAGAGGCAGGATCTTTGTGTTGCAAACTGCTGTTACCATGTCTACATTGCAAAATAAACATTCCATCAGTAGTAAAATTCTAAAAGCAGAAGTTGGGGCTGTCAATTAAACAAAGCAGAGGAAGTGGATCTGTGCCAGAGCAATGCTAGTGAATGGGATAATTAGAAGGTAGAGGGTTCCCCCTGACAGACAGCATACCATGCCTTTGTCTTGAAGGCACATCATAAGTGTGCAGACGTCGCCTGTCGCTTGGTGGTTCACCAACATCACCGCTTCGTCTTCTGTAATCGTTTGTATGTTGTCGCCCCATTCAACAACTGTAATCACAAGAAAAGGCAAAACGTTACCGCTTGGCTTTAGAAAAGGCCTGCAATGTGTTCAAATGGCTACATGAACAAAATGATCTGAAATCATCCTGCACAATTTATGTCAAAATAGCCAAGTTAGGAAATAAAACCAAAAACTAACACACACACACCAAAAACAAACACAAAACCAAACCCATGAGCCAATTTAAAAAAAACAAAACAAAAAAAAAAAAAAACAACCTTTGCTATTTTGGTCTAAAACTGAAAGTCATTTTGCCAGCTCTCCATAAGTCACCATTTAGTGAACAGACACCATAAAGAAGGCAGCTAAACATACAGATTAAAACAAGTCATGCAGCTTTAAAGAACATTTAAAAACTATTAAAGAAATACATTTGGGACGAGACTGCATTCCATTTGTCTGCTGATAAATCATTTATGATCGTGGTTATTTCACCAGAGCTAGCCTTTCTAGCAATACATGCATGTACATTGTACAGATAATGAAATGGGGAGGGGGGCAATCCCTTAATGCAGTGCAGTTTTTGACAGTGACCTAAATTACACGACCTTCCGTTCTATAATTGTAACATGCTATACTTAATATCATAGAAACCTTTGATAGACCATTCCCAGTGTGATTTCTTTGCACTAGGGGAGACAGAGCTACAGTGCAGTTGCCTGGATCTGAAAGTATGATGTGGGGACCCATTTAAATGGATTAGAATAGGCCTGATCAGGTAGCCTGAACATTAACAAACATTGTTTTTGTTTTGTTTCCCCTTTCTGCCTCAGGTGTATGGCTTTAGGTTAAAAATAAATACATTTAAAAAGTGTGAGCTAAAGAGCTAAATCAAATATCCAGCATAAGTTCTGTTTAATATTTTACAGCACCATGAAAGTTTGTGTTTATTTCAAGCAGAAAGTCCCTTCCCCTTCTGTTACCACCTAAATCTCCTTACTGAACCAGGTCTTTGGGTAACTTTTTTTTTTTTTTAAACCACAGTCTGAAGAATGCAACTATCGATAATGGAATGACTGTTTGGATGTAACATTTCCAGATAGCATTCAGCACACACGTAATCCCAATACTAAAAAAGGAATACAGAAAAAGGAATTCCAAAAATTTAATACAAAAACCGTAGATATGGTTTTAGATTTTTAATGACTACTTCAATTATATCGCTATTTCCATAATGACAAGCTTTACGAATAAACCCTGCACAAGGTCATTCACTAAAAACGCAGAACTGTAGCAAATTACAAGCGGGACGGCAGCATTTAGGGTAAAGTAACCAAACTGTGACTACAGTTTAGAGATTTTTTTCCAGATCAGCGATTTTATTTATTTTATTTTTTTGTAAATCTGTTTTTATTGAAAAGTAGTTCAAACAGTCAGTACATACGTTAAGAAGATTTGCAGATTGGGACACGCAGGACATACCATCAGTTTGAGGATACTGATCACATCAAGTTAAGGTTCTCGATTATGTTGGGAATCCAAGCGGTAATTTGGTCCCCAGTTTTTTGGTTGGTTTTTTTTGAGCTTGTTAGCCGAACCTTTTCCATGTTTCCCATTCCGTACCTTTCCGCGGGGCACAGAGCACCTATCTCCGAAACTGGTGTATGTTCTTAATATGCGGTCTTGCCTTATCCGTTAGTTATGCTTTGGGCTCGGAGCCTTTGCTGCCGATATTTGGCGTTTTGTCGTCCCCGTTAATTTATTGTGTGCCATTTTGATGTGTGTTCCCTTTTATTTGTTCTAATGGGAAAGCGGTTGTTGCTATTATTTGGGGAGTTATGTGACTGACTTCTAGAATGGTCAAAGGTGGTGTTCCAAGGCTGTTAGGCATTTTCCCTGCTGCTTTTTGCGATCTGTGTTTTATGTGCGTGTATGATATGTGCAGATCAGCGATTTTAAAGGACAACTATAGGCACCCAGATCACTTCAGCTTAATGAAGTGGTCTGGGTGCCAGGTCCACCTAGCATTAACCCTTTCTGCTGTAAACATAGCAGTTTCAGAGAAACTGCTATGTTTACAAATGGGTTAATCCAGCCTCTAGTGGCTGTCTCATTGACAGCCGCTAGAGGCACTTCCGCGCTTCTCACAGTGAGAAGATGCCAGCGTCCATAGGAAAGCATTGAGAATGCTTTCCTGTGGACTGGCTGAATGCGCGCGGCTCTTGCCGCGCATTCAGCCGATGACAGGGAAAGGAGAGTCTCCAGCACAGAGGGAGCCCGGCGCTGGAGAAAATGTAAGTGATTAACCCCCTCCTCTCCATTCAGCCCGGCGGGAGTGGGACCCTGAGGGCGGGGGCACCCTCAGGGCACTATAGTGGTCCTTTAAACTGCGCACCCATTTTGATAAACTTTCAAGATCCATTTTTCTCAGCACTTCCAACATACGCACACAGAACATTTAACAAGTAGGTAGATATTCTATGTGTGATCAGTTACCAAGGAAACATGATATACAGATATTTCAAGAGTGGGGCAGTTCATAAAGTTTACTCTACAGGATGATTGAGATACTATTGTCTAATAACAGTTCGTTCTACATATTTCAAGAACATGCACAAGGCAACACTGAAGTAATTAAATCAAAATCTATTAATATGTCCTTTTTTATATGCAGCCATTTACACACTGCTCAATAAAATGTAGCTGGCAAGCAGCCAGCAACTAAATTCAAGGAAAACACCAAACACTATAATCCCTACAGCCCGCCACAGTGATTGCGATACCATGAGTGCCCTGGCACCCTCCCAGTGTAAGCAATAAAAACATTTGTCCCATCCCGAACAGTAGAATTCACTAACAGCTACCATGTTTCCCCGAAGATAAGACATATTAATTTTTCCCTGAAAAGCAGGGAGGAGGAAGAGATCTTATTTCGAGGAAATACCTGTGCTAGAAAGCAGGTCTATGTTCAGGGGAATTCCCCTGAACATAGACCAGTTCAGTAGGGAGTGGAATCCTGCAAATCTATGTTTGGGGAAAGTACTCGCTGCTAAAATATCGCAAATCTATGTTCGTTTAAAGTACCCCGAACATAGATTAGTTTACTCGCGAATGGAATCATGCTTATCTGTGTTCAGGGAAACTTCCCCGAACATAGATTAGCGAACAACCAGTGAAGGCATAGGCAACCTTCAGCACTCCAGATGTTTTGGACTACACCTCCCATGATGCTTTGCCAGCATTGTGTGTACAAGCGTTATGGGGGATGTAGTCCACAACATCTGGAGTGCCGAATGTTGCCAATCCCTGGACTAGAGCTTACTTTCGGGGTAGGGCTTATATTAGGAGCAGCCCCCGATAATAAGCTGGGGCTTATTTTCGGGGGATGTCTTATTTCCAGGGAAACAGTATTACGCTAGGTGATTCTTATGCACTCTGGCATACAAAGCTTAACTCGCACATTGTACATAACATTAGATTTTACGCTAGTTACGAAAACTTTGTTTCAGTAATAGATTCACATACTATGAAACTATCACTACACTAAAAATTTACATATTTTTTGGTGTCAAGAATAGCTGGTAGGAGTTGATAACATCCCTTTGAAAGACACTTCCTCTGTTGCTGTCAGTTTGTCAGTCTCACTAGCAGAATACATCCTTTAACAAATCTTTAATCGCAAACAACCAGTTGCAGTTAGGAGGTATTACGATCTCCAGAGAGAGTGGCCATAGAGAGAGACATGCTCCGGTCTCATAAAACCTCTCGCTTGCAGCATCTATTAGCAAACATTAAGTTAGCGGTGTCATGAACCACCTTTGATAATGTCATTAGACAGGAGAACGCACTAGTAACTGGCTCCCTTTTTTCACATAAGCTGGTTTAGTCGTGATCAAACCAAAGCATTTATTAAAAATGGTTTCTCACAGTAGGAGTAAGGAGGGTATAAGACTTGAGGGCAGCACTAACATTTCTTTTAATAATAAATTTAAATTACTTTTTTTTTTTTATTAAAGTCTACTTGTCCAACGGACTGAAGTGGTAATCTAATCTACTTGCCCCTCATGACAAGCTACCAAACAACTCAATTATAAAAATTGAGGACCCTGCATAGATCCATGGGCACAGTGTTTCAGGCTCCCTGTCATGTCTCTCTGTTCCCTACTGTAGTGTGATGTGTGTGCTGGCTTTATGTAGTAAGTGTGTGTACTGTATAGTAGGTATGTTTTTGTGTGTAGTGGTACTTTATGTTTTGCCCCCCTCCTGCTTGGAAAATCAACTTCCTGCCCGGCGCCCAGAACTCCATGTCCCAGGCAACAATATTAAACATCCAAATATATATCTACATATAACAATAGGACAATGGTCCACGAGAAGACATTCCTATAGTTTATACTTGTTTCCATGGTGACTACTCCATGCTTCAAACTTTAAAAATGGGGGAGATTTGTAAAATGGTCCATAACTATGTCTATGTGCAAGTTTGTACTAAATAAACCTCACTTATAGAGTTTCATGAATGCTCACTGAATGTTAGACATATGCAGCTTGGCTTTAGTCAACAGTTAACATGAATGAAAATCACAGCCTCTACACAGATTACACAATCTTCTATAAACAAACCGCTTGGAACTCAATGGGTGTATCCTATATTAATGAATATTGCAAGAGTTGAATGTTTCAACAGTGGGTGACACTATTGACCGGAATCCACCCCTGTTTTCACATAGCTCACTTCCTTTTACCCTCCGTACCTCTCATTACTCAATCAACAAATACCCACAAGCTGAGCAGTGAGAAAAGGTTTTCTACCATAGACTTTTTAAATAGAGACCCAGATACATAACGGTGTGCAGATATTCAACCCAATGTGTCTTTCCAGAGGGTCAACAAAAAATATTCACCCAAGTTCACTGAAGGACCTGAAAACTGTTGAATAAAAATTGGTCAGAATGTCATACAGTTTGTCAAGTTATCAAATCTCTCACAAACCTCACCATAAAGTGCAACACACCCCCTTGTTATAGGAGCAATCAATCATCAATACATATAACCAGTGATAGATTAAATAGGCTTTACCAGCATGGCTATGCCCAGGAAACCAATTCATTTAGTTTAATGAAGCAGTTTTGGTGTATAGACCATGTCCCTGCAGATTCCGTAGCGCTTTACAATATTATAAGAGGGGGGATTTAACTATAAATAGAACAATTACAAGAAAGCTTACAGGAACAATAGGTTGAAGAAGATGCTGCTCAAACGAGCTTACAGTCTATAGACCTAGCCACGCCTCTCTGCATGTGACTATTACAGCCTTCCAAAACACTTCCTGTAAAGAGAGATGTCATGTTTATACTTTATTTATTGCAGTCTGTTTGATTTAGAATTGTGTATCTCCAGCTCTGTTGATAGTCTGTTAGAGGCTGCAGGATCCTCATGTATGTGATCAAAGTTCAATTTACAGAGCAAGAAATAAAAACCTCGGGGCGTGGCCTGGAGCTCGAGCACAGCAGCCGCATGTCTGTGTAGCTCCGTGCTACCACGGCCTAAATAAAAGCTGTACGAGCACCCTAAGACCGGGAATCCACCCAGCAACGATGTCCCAACACAAGGGGAGAAGACAGACCGAAAAGGGGGAGAAAGCCGATTTTTTCACGGTCCGGAATGCCCAGGGGAAAGTGATGGCGAGATCAGAGGAGCCCCAAGATGGCGCCCATGGCGGACTGAACGACACCCAGAGTACAAATCCTGAAGAAATCCCAGCAACTCCACATATAATACAGAGAATGCTGGATGACATGCACCAAAAGCTGCAGCTCACACTAAAAACCTCACTGAACGAAATCAAATCTGAAATCCGAGATCTGGGTATGCGCACATCATCCCTGGAAGACAAAATGGCTGACCAAGCTGAAGCATACAATGCCATGCGAGCCGAAATGGATGAAATGCAAGACACAATAGAATCCTACGGAAACAAGCTGGCGGACATGGAAGACCGCTCCAGACGGAACAACCTGCGCCTGAGAGGAGTAGCAGAGACCGTCAGCACGGCAGACCTCCATGCTTACCTACAGGGCCTGTTCAAAATCCTTATTCCAGACATCCACCAGGACATGCTCCTGCTGGACAGGTACCACAGAGTCCCCAAGCCGAGGTTTCTGTCGGCGGACGAACCGCGAGACACACTAGTAAGACTACACTACTTCCATGTAAAGGAAGACATCTTGAGGGCAAACAGGCAGCGCCCAAACCTCCCAGCACCATACCAGGGGATCACTATCTACGCGGACATATCTGCAGCAACGCTGAAAAAGAGGAAAACCTTCTCAGGAATTACAGAGCAACTGAGACAACACAAGAAGCCATACCGATGGGGATTCCCAGTCAAATTACTAGTCACGCACGAAGGCAAGCTGACAGCCATCGCATCCCCAGAAGCTGGTATCCAAGCACTGAAAGATTGGGGCTTGCCACCACCAAGGATGCCGTCCCAAGCCGCAGCAAGGGCCAAGCTACCGCCAACATGGAAGAAAATCACGAGAAACAGATAAGGCCGCGGCCTGCATCCACGAACAGTGGCAAGTATTGCACTAAGACAATGGGACACTGACTATGAGGGGGGAAAGGGCGCCTGATAGAGGGTACGCAGTGGGATAGACATCACCCTAACATTTTTATTTTCTAAATCACTACCAAGGGTAACCGTGGTAAAACCGGGCACCCAGACGCACCCGACCGGACCCCCCCATAACAAGAACTCGGCATCGTATACTTTTTTCTTACCAGCCGACACGCAAAGAGAGTGCAAACACCTCTGACACACCCTTATTAGGCCCGAAGACCAATGCGATCAGGCATGGAGGCACGCAGCTTCCTACCCCACAGTGCCCACCGGAGGCACAAGGCCAATTCTATGGCAAAATGTTTAGTTATTTCTGTTTTAAGTTATTTGTTTACCCTCCATGTTTTCCATCTTGCACAACTAATGTATGCTCTACTTTCCATTGACAAGACACACAAGGTTCCCCCACACAGTGGAGGCTACTACCAACACATGACACGAAATAGGGAGGGGTCACCCAGTTCGTTAATACTGGGAAGGGTGTCCCCTTCGCAAATAGACACTACAGGTCCATTACAACTCGAAATCCAAACATACTACCCCCCATGAGAATATACTCTCACAATACTAAAGGGCTCAACCACCCAGCGAAGCGAAGCTTGCTTCGCAAAGATTTACAACAACTCAAACCAGAGGTAGTGTGCCTTCAAGAAACACATTTTAAACTCAAAGCACATTCGCCTTTGTTCCAGCAAGATTACCCACACCAATTTCACGCCACACACTCCACCAAATCTAAAGGGGCCTCAATCCTCATTAGCAGAGATGTGGCGTTCACCCTTATGCACTCCGAGGTGGATACAGAGGGTAGATATGCTATGGTAGTGGGGACATTTAATGACGTTCTATACACAATTGCAAGCGTATATGCCCCAAATAAGGATCAAAGAAATTTCCTCCACAAGGTGTTTAAAAAATTGTCGACTATAAGTAAAGGAATAGGGGTGATATGTGGCGACTTTAACCATGTGCTGGACCCGATGATGGACACCACAGGCCCACACACAGCCACTAGACTGAAGCCACTCAAGAGACAGGGCAGGGCACTACAAAAATTACTACAAGACAATCACCACTATGACGTATGGCGGGCACTACACATAGGGGAACGGGGATACACATTCCTATCCACAGTACACAATACCTACTCACGAATTGATGGTATATTGATTGCGGGTCAATATCTAGAACAGGTCAAAGATTGCTCCATAGAACAAATAACATGGTCGGACCACGCACCAGTGGTGATGACCCTGGCAGACTTATACGACTCCACACATAGAAGCCCATGGAGACTCAACGCAACACTTCTCACAGACAATACTTTCAAAAAAACACTAGAAACTGAGCTCACCAACTACTTCACAGAAAACAATACTGAAGACACATCCCACAATATAGTATGGCAAGCACACAAATCGGTAATCAGGGGGTTGATGATAAAGCGGGCAGCATTCCTGAAGCGGCAGGCACAAACACAGTTGCGACACTGGCAAAGGGACCTGCAGGACCTTAACTCCCAAAACCAACGAACCCCGTCCCAGGAACTGAAATTGCGCATCATGACAATCACACAGGCCATGCACAAACAAGCCCTAGACAAAACAGGCTACTACCTGCAAAAACTGAAAGCAAACCAATACTCGCAGGGAAACAAAGCAGGCAAACTGACAGCCCAACTTCTCAAAAACAAACAGGCACAACAAAAAATAGCGTACTTAACAACACCTGAAGGACACAAAATAACAGCACCTAAAGACATCAGCAATAGGTTCGCACAATACTACGCCTCACTATACAACCTAGCCGAGGATGTTCACACACCCCAACCGGATCCCCAGGCGATACAGACGTACCTAAGCTCCATACCACTACCCAAATTCACACCCCAGCAACAACAGGAACTCATGGCTAGCATAACAGATGCAGAAGTCGCGGAAGCCATTAAATTATTGCCAATAGGTAAAGCTCCAGGCCCGGATGGCTTCGCAAACTGTTATTACAAACACTTTGCCCCGATCCTCACGCCACACCTAACAAATGCCTTTAATGAAGCCACCGCACGACAACAACTGCCCACTGAATCCCTACTGGCCCACATCATCACACTTCCAAAACCGGGCAAACCACCCACATGCCCTCAGAATTTCCGCCCAATATCCCTGCTTAACACCGACGTTAAGCTTTACGCAAAGATCTATGCACTACGTCTGGGCAAAATGCTTACACAGGTTATACACTCAGATCAGGTGGGATTTATAAAAAACAGGCAGGGAAGTGACAACACAAGGAAGGTTCTGGACATTGTACACAGTGTCCGCAGAATGAAAGTGGGAGGGGTGTTAGGATCGTTAGACGCCGAAAAGGCCTTTGACCGACTGGGATGGAGGTTCCTCGAGCAGGTCCTACTAAAGTTTGCAGTGCCGGAGGGTTTTATCTCAGCGGTCAGGGCTTTATATAATGCACCAACAGCGAGGGTCGTCAATGCAGGGTTCGTATCGGACCCCCTTAAAATCTCTAACGGATCCAGACAGGGATGCCCATTATCGCCACTCCTGTACGTCATGGCCCTGGAGCCTTTGGCGGCGGCAATTAGGCAGCACTCCTCCATACATGGAGTAAAGATAGGGGATCGGGAATACAAGGCGAGTTTATTTGCAGACGACGTCCTCCTAACCCTGACACAACCCCACATATCCCTCCCCAATCTAATGGCCACCATTACGGAATATGGGAAACACTCCTACTACAAATTAAACGTCACAAAGACACAAGCCATGGGAATGGGGATACCAGGGGAATCACTCGATAGACTCAAAACCGCTTTCCCCTTTGACTGGCGAGTGGACCACCTAACTTACCTGGGCATCCGCATCCCACCCCGCACCGAAAAATTACTAGACCTCAATTATAACAAATTACTGAAGGACACGCAAACCACCCTACGGTCATGGGAGGGGAAATACCTGTCATGGGTGGGGAGAATTGCGGCGATAAAAATGATGACACTCCCGAAACTCCAGTATCTCCTGAGAACTCTCCCCATAAAACTACCAAACGCGTACCTGATCTCCTTTCAAAAAACACTAATCAGATTTATATGGGCCAACAAAAGACCAAGGGTGGCCACAAAAATACTGCAAAAACCAACCGTGCAGGGGGGTCTGGGACTGCCAAACATTCGAGAATACTATAGGGCAACTCAACTAACAGCAATCAAGGCAGCAACAGTGGAAGGAGAAGCGCCACAATGGACCCAAATAGAGGCCCATTGGACAAATAGTCCATCTCTGAGGGAGCTCTTGTGGCTCCCGGAAAAACTCCGGCCCCAACTGATACAACCCCTATTGACCACACAGTTAACACTATACTTCTGGGACGAAATCCGCAAGAGGGAAGGAAAGGAAGGAACACTCCTAGAGGACGCCCCAATATCGTGCATAGCAGCAGGGATCCCAACATTCGACACAAAAAAATGGAACGAGGCAGGCTGCACTAAGCTTAGACACTTATACCATGAAGGCAACCTGTTGGCATTTCCAGATCTCCAGGCACGGCACAACATCCCCAACAAGGCGCTGTTCTCATACCTACAGCTGAAATCGCTGCTCACAGGGGTACAAATAAATAGCCAGGCGACACACAACAAACGCTCCATAGAACAATTTTGCCTAACCAACAAACCCCCTAAAAAAACGATCTCCACGATATACAACATACTTACAGACGATGAGGCGCACCCAGACATGACATTCCAAACAGCTTGGCACAAGGAACTGGGACAAATCATAGACAAAGAGCAATGGCACAGGGCATTTACAATACACGTAGGTAACACACGCTGCACAACACATCTCGAAACAATAAGGAAACTACATTACAGATGGTACATGGTACCTGAGCATTTGACCAAGATTTTCCCAAACTCTCCAAACATGTGCTGGAGATGCGGGACAACAGGAGGCTCCATGAGCCACATATGGTGGTCGTGCACGGAGATTAAAAAATTTTGGAAGGTAGTAGAGGAATTAGCGGGCGAACTGCTGGGCAGGAAATGGCGACCCACCCTACAACAATGTATACTATTTATGTTACCACTCACAATGACCAAAACAGAGGAATCCCTTTTGTTCCACGTCCTGATATCAGCAGTAACCCTCATAGCTAGAGCATGGAAATCGCCACAAATCCCATCCAAAGAAACCCTAACACAACAAATAAATTTAAATTGGCGATACGAAAAAATGGCACTCAAACACATTGGACCAAGAAAACACATAGACTTAGCCAATGCGAGGTGGGAAGAATATAGGGGTAAGGGACAAAGCGGACAAACAGTGGGGACGTGAGTGGGCGCAAGGAGAGTGCAGGAAAAGGCTACCCAACAAGGAAGTAGGAGATGGGAATTCCTGGAAATCATACCAAGTAACATGCAACAATATTAGAACAGGGGATAACACAAAAAACCACGAGAACCCTTATGGGAAAGGGTAACATCCACTCACATAGCTGGCGCTGAAGCAGGCACCCTCACACCCAAGAGCCCAGAAACTAGAGCAGGTCAACACGTACCATGCATAATGTATGAAGCACGCTATATAACCTATGATGCACGACACGCAGCGTATGAAACACAATATGTAATGCATGATGTAACAAGGACAATGTGTGACTAGTGATGTAACCGGAAGACATGGAATGTTTTGTGTTTTGTGTATTTACTTGATCCATACCCTTCCTTCCCCCATACCCTTTTCTTTTCTGTACCCCAGGTTTTATAACATGTAAAACAATAAAACTTTCAAATTGGAAAAAAAAGAAATAAAAACCTCTAAAGCAAGTCAACATCTGAAAATTAACCCAGCAGTCACAACCAGGAAAGGTATGGCTAGGGCAGCATGGAAAGAACCAAGTGATTTAACTCCTTGAGGATTTCAGTCATGGAGGACGACACGATGATCTTGGCCTTGGAGGCGGGCCAGCACCTGCGAGACCAGCACGGCAATAGAGAAAAGGTAAGCAAATACTTTTTAACTCCATTCTGAGGGGGGCCGGTCACCTATGTAGATACTCCAGTACTAGTGTTTAGAAATACAGGTTTGTATGTCTAAAACTATAGTGTTCCTTTATTTATGCATTTTAGAACATTTAGACTTTGTTGCAGCAGACTTCATCAACATCCCCAACTGGGATCACCGGAGAATCCCAGGAATTTCTAAGTCAATGATTTTACAATTTAGCGTGTTCTCTGCAAGAAAGCAGGTCTCCTTAACCTGACAAGACTGCCTCATCAGCTCTTCTTTGTAGGTTTCCCAAGGCAATACACAAGTGCGTGCCAGGCAAGAAGTTTTAATGTGAAGAATCAGCATTCCGCCTCCTACGGTCAGGGACACAGATGTCAGCTCTACAAATAAAATGATTGAATCTGGAACTTCAAGCATCACATCCCATGGCAGCACCAAACCGTGTTTAACCACGTCCTGACCACGACTACATTGCACTTCCAAACCTCCCTCTTATTTTTTTTATTATTTATATAGCGCCATCAGATTCCGTAGCGCTGTACAATGGGTGGACTAACAGACATGTAATTGTAACCAGACAACTGGATGTACAGGAACAGAGAGGTGGAGGGCCCTCCTCAATGAGCTTACATTCTAGAGGGAGTGGGATATAATGACACAAAAGGTATACTCACTATGGCAAGAGTGAGGAGAAGACATTGAGTCCCCCATAGTTCTTAATTAGAACATTAGAACCCCATAATTTCTGCTGATTGAGGTTATGGGGCAGTAGTGGTCATGCACATGTCTCACCTTAAGAGTTTAAAAAACATTTTGCAACTGTTTATCCCTAAATTTAGAAAACCCAGCACCACCACCGCCTGGCTTTCTTCTTCTACGCATCTTTAGTATGAGAAAGGTTTAACTGGACAGACAGTGGTAGGCTGAGAGCATCAGCTGTCACAGATTGCCCATTGAGAGGATTTTTCTCTTAAACGTAAGTTATTATGAGGGTGGGAGTGTTCCTTTAAGGGATTGCCTTTGTCCTCCTCAGACTTCCCACACCATGTCAAAAGCAGTGTCTGCATTCAATTCAAAGCCTCCCCGTCACTGATGATCACAACACAAACTTGGAACCCTTTCAACATTAGGGCTGTGAAAGGGCGATCTTTAACTCTTGTATGCAGAGCATGTGCCTCTTTCGTAGTTTAAAAAGTGAGCGTTAAAGGTAAACCATGACCATGCATGGAACACAGTCATATAGTTGCACCCTGGCGCACATGATTACTGTAGCTTAGCTTTTACCCACAGTAACGGTTATAAATTGTTATGAAATTCCTGGATGGCCGCTTCCACATTGAAATATCTTCAAGTGTTAATTCCCTCTAAATAGATTGACTTCTGTAGCTTTAATTTTGGATTATTGTTAAAACGGGTTTTAGGAGGAAAAATGCCAGGTGACACGGTCTCTTTAATCCTGTATTTGTAGTTATTTACATTTTTATTTAGAAATGGACATATTACTACCACTGTACTAAGTGTACAAAATATACAAGTAAATAGTGAAATGACGAAAGATATAGTAGATTCTAAAAGCAGAGTTTTCCCACTCTGGCTGCAAATGGTAGTAATGTCATTAAAGATTTTTTATGTTTTTATTTAAGTTGACAAGCACATTCCTTTAACCTGATTTATACAAGGAGGATTTATTTTACTTGTCTTTAATAGCAGGGCCTTGTCTTGGCTCTTTAATGTCTGAGCTACCCCTCCCAGTACATATTCTGCAATACTGTATGAAACAGAATTTCAGGAAGTCGGGTTTCCTCAAGCACACTACCAGAAAGTCAGCCCTACAGCCAAAAACACATGGCCAACAGCCAAAGCAGATGACAGTCTCATTAGAGGCACTAGTATCAAGCATGGAATAGCAGTTCTATAAACCGAGCAACTGTATTGGCAAATAAAAAGTAAACTAAATAGAATACAAGCATAATAAAGATAAAACAGCTAAACTGCTCATACCCATTTATCAGAAACTTCAAAACAAATCATAAAATAGCATGGTAAATGGGAGGGGTGGCTCCCACTTCATATATTTCCCCATGCAAGGGGCCAGGGCTGAAACTGACCCCTTTCTTGCTCTCCTCTATTTTAAAATCAGATGATTCTGACAAGTAATTGTGTGACAGTCATTTCAGCTCAGTTATTGGATCAATAGATTCATAAGGTGGTACTTAGTCCAAAATAGGTTACTCCATTTACCCAGGCTCTTCAAACATCTGCTGGATAATCAGCAAAGAAGTGGGCCCCCTGACATCTTCTGCAATTGTCTTTTGTTACACAATTTCTGGAGTGAAGTTTAGGCACTCATCCTAAAAACTACAGCCTTCACTATACCTAGCTCTCTGGAGGCATTAATGCTAAATATGTTCCCTCACACTATAAAGAGACCCCAAAACACATTCTTATAGCCTCAAACAATTACACAAGACAAATTGTTTAACCGCAAACTGTTTTGTTGCAAATTGAAGTACGAAAAAGTTATCAAGAAGAAATTAAGATCAGGTTCTCTATCTTTAAATCTGCTCTCCCCTAATCAGTTTCTTTTCTCCAGCACTCAGAGCCGTAATCATTGAGGTAAAAGGTATTGCCTTTAAGAGTGGGCACTAGGAGAAAAGCAGAGGCAATCAGATCTGCTACATACGGAATGACCCTTTAGGTTAATACATCTTCCACAAACTTTCTTCTCATTTTAAAAATGAAAAAAAAAAAAAAAATCCTACATTGCACCCAAGATTAATGAGACATTAAATGAATGCATAGGAAGGGTTCTCTTTATTCTCTTTGAAAGTAAAAAAAAAAAAAAAAAAACCTAATCAAAACAGTTTGACAGGAACCCAAATGTATTCTTTTTAACATAAAATTCTTAAGAAAGAAAAGGGAAAGATTCATCCAAGTGATTATATACACAAGAATAAAAAAAAGCCTATAAATAAAAGCTTTCAGAATTATTATAGATCATACACACACATCGTGTAAGCACTCAAGACTTAAAGGACCACTATGGGCACCCAGCCCACTTCAGCTCAATGAAGTGGTCTGGGTGCCAGGTCCAGCTAGGTCTAACCCTGCAGCTGAAAACATTTTCAGAAAAACTGCTATATTTCACTGAGGGCTAATCTAGCCTCTAGTGACTGTCTCACTGTGAAAAATCACAGTGAGAAGACGCTGACGTCCATAGGAAAGCACTGAGAAATGCTTTTTCTAAAGGCGGTTTGAATGCGTGCGCGGCTCTTGCACATTCAGTGCGGACGTCGGCAGGAGGAGAGGTCACCAGCGCCTAGGGAGTCCAGCGCTGGAGAAAGGTAAGTGGCTGAAGGGGTTTTAACGCCTTCAGCCCAGCGGGAGTGAGACCCTGAGGGTGGGGTGGGGGACTATTAACACTACAGAGCCAGAAAAACAAGTTGTTTTTTTTTCCTGGCGCTATAGTGCTCCTTAAATAAAGTGGGTCACTTTTGACCAATATTAAAGAAGCCAGCATAATAGCACACTTTTTTTTTAAATGAGATATATATTTATATATATAAAAAAATACAGTAATTCATAACAGCCCCACAAAAATACCAGATAATTTGCAAGCACTATATTTGACCCTGTAGCTATCCAAAACACCATAAACCCTGTACAAAGGGGTACTGTTGAGACAACACTGAACACAGTAATCCTATAGTGACAATATCGTCAGAAAAGTGTAGTTTTTGTTGTGTGAGAAATGCTGGTTTTTTTTTGGCTAGGGTTTGTGACTAACTTGCTATTTAAAAAAAAAAAAACAAAAAAAAAAAACCCTGGACATCTCATTTTGAATACCCTGGGTTGTCTTCTTTTGCAAATGGTATGCCATGCTGGAGGAAATATTCAAGCCTGGGCTGCCAAATGGTCTCAAAGTCAATATATGCTCAGTAAACCAATCTGACATATTTCAGTGTGTAAAAAAACGGAAATGGGCAAGCTCTTCATTTGACCCTGTAACTTTCCAAAACACCATTAAACCTGAATGTGGGGGACATTGTACTCGTGGGACACCACAGCATACAAATGTGTATTTTATACCAGTAAAAGTCAACAGCATTATAACATTTACAGATAAAATGCCATGTTTAAGCCTTTCTTTGTAGGTTTTAGAACACCATAATCTTCGTAGTCTCCAAAACTAGAGAGATTATTCCAGATGAGGTTGTCACTCTCAGTGCATGATTTAGGTCCCCCTAGGGATGCATAAATAGGTGATCAGATATCTAACACACACATGCACAAAATATATCCTGCCACCAAAGAACCATTTCAAGAAAAAAGGCTTGGACACAATAATTTTTAAATATTAGCCATTTGGCCAAGGAGTTTTCACCTTGTTACATGATTGTATGTTTTGATAAAGACACACCTTTCTTTTAGTGCTTGTTTTAATATCCCTAATGACAATATCTACGAGGACCTTTCCTACCTGTGAATTCTGGCAATATAGACTGCACTCAGGGAGTTCAAGTCTAGGTCATTATAGGACAGCTAGTTTAGGAATAGATATGGTTAGTAGTGTTTTCCACTGAATTTTCTCAGAACCAGTAGCCCAAAACTCGTTCGTTTCACACGCATGCAGCATTAAAAGCTTATACAGGGCAGCATTTTGGTGGGCTAAAACTCTTCCCTCAGCTTACTGGAACAAGCATCCCATCCACCCTCCCAATTGTCTGTTGTAGACTGTAAGTCAAGGAGTAAAGTCGCCTCCAATTTGGGAGTGGACAGATGCGCAGTGAAAACAATCTAGCTCTCAGGGTACATTGCATTAGTTTCAGCTTGGTGTTAAAGTTTTTGAAAAGTTTATTCGTTCAATACTAGTCATGGTTTTATTGGTGAATGGGTATGAGCAATGCCTCTCAAACTCTTTCAATAAAATGCTACGGCCATTATTTACTTCCAGTCTCTCTGTGTATGTCTTTATTTAATTTAGGTTACTGCTGTAATAAGTTCTATATATGCAATATCCATTTAAAGGACATACACGAATAAGGACAACGAACAAATCTAATGAGTCCTAGGCTTAACAATGTTAATTTATCTCTCATCAAAACAGCACCCAACAATCCCTTCCATTTAACCACCTCTGATATTCAGGCTTATTCTCTCTTTGGCATACCTAATTATAGGTCTAGTCTGCCTATGTTTACTTTCAACAATTCCCTGTCCGCTTCCAAGTGAGTCAGCTTTTATTTTCTATGTGCTAGTTATTTATATTGTAGAAAATCAGTTCTATCATTGCAGCGCTGGTGTTATGTCAGAGGTCGCAGACACACAACGATTACCACCCTGCTTTTTAAAGTTGTCTACCTTTGACAGTATGGACTACATCTCCCAGAAACCTTTGCTGTGCACCACATAAAACAATATGTTTGAAAAAAAAAATAAATATTACAGGTTAAGAATGATGGACAGAAAGAATGAGCTTCCAGACAAAAACAAAAATTAAAAAAACAAAACAAACCAAAAAAACAAACAAAAACCAACAGACTGAAAACCTGTATGGCATAACGGCCGCATACCACGCACATCCAACAACCTTGTCTGAGATTTTTATACCTGAATGTATACCAATGGTAAAATGAATACACTCTTTAGAATATGCACCGCTCAACCAAATAATCAACTTAAAAAAAAAAAAAAAAAACACACAACAAATCTAGTTAAAGCAGCTGTCACTTCTTGAGCATTACATAAAGATAAAGTCTTTCTGAAATACTCATATCTACAGAATATGAATTGCATTGAAATTCCAAAACAATCAAAAGATATCATCTGATAAGAATGTGAATAATTTATGTTATGATGGAGCCCAAGGTTAATTAAAGGCAGAGCTTGTGGCAAAAGCTTGCCAATTCCCAGAGCCGTCACTAGCTGCAGCTGTAGGAAACCGGTATTTTCTTGAGCATTGTGCGAGCTGGTCTATGGAGGATTTCAAGGTCTGGCAAGACTGTCCATAGACCCCAGTGAGGTAATGGCACATATGCAAGGAGTACAGCAGTGAAGCGGGCTCCGGGGGAATGGAAGATGGTAGCAACCGTCAGAGAGGCTTCATGTAAGAATATCTACCATAAGCTTCTCCCCTTACTGCTACACATAAATCGAGCAAAATATGCACCGCCGTAAGGAACCGTCATGTGGAGCACCTGTTTTCATTTCTGAGTCTCATACATACCTAAAGGAACACTAACATTAGGAATGCAAATATATATTCCATGGCCCCACCTTGGAAAATTAAATAAAGTACGTTTTCATTAGTGTCCTGGCAATAATGATCTCAACCTTTCGATCGATGCACCTCTATGGGGAGAATTTGGCGTCTTTAAGGAAAGTGTAAAAATTAGAAATGTCAGTCCTGCAAAGATTGCAAGACTGCATCACAAAAGGTCTCTTGTAGATGTCTGTGTGACCGCTTCTAGAGAAGGCTTTAGACACAAATGCAAACACAGCCTTTTATCAGAAAAGAGTGTTTACAATTGTCAGACTGGAGGGACAGCATTTAAACAGCAGAAATTTACAGATTAAGGTAGTGGTTCTGGTGCAGAGTGTTCCTTGAAAAGGTTTAAAATTCCAATTCCTATACCACTAGCCAGACCTTAAAAGTTACTGCAAACCTGGACAGTGGTTGGGACACTGAAGAGGGATTCATTTCCACTTGCCAAAGCTAGTTTCAAGTGGACATTTGGAGTCACGGTTTAGGGTGCAACCTGAGATGTTCAAAGTTAAATTTTATGTGGTGGAAGTCAATGACAATCTGGGCTGCAATAGATTTGGTTTGGATGTTAACGGAGTGCAACTGTGTGCCTTGCTAGGGGGACTGAGTTAGTTAACACTCTATGATCAGTAACAGCATGGCAGATAGCGGTGTACATATTGGAACAGGGCATTAAATTCAATACACACATACACACAATTAGCCAACAGGAATTAAATCGTAAGTGAAGTTTTTAACTCATGCAGTTTGTTTCTAAAGATAAAATAATTGTGCTTTAGATTAAACAAAAAATTCACAAACGGAGAATACTGCACTCACACTTAGGAATCCAGGTGCTTATCAGTTCCAGGGTTGCTGCAGAAAGGCAGGTTTATTGGAACAAAAAGTGCAATGTTTCGGCCTTCAGCAAGCTTGGACCGAATTTATTTTATTTAGAGGAAACAAATGTCTGTAATGACAAACCTAGCATAAAAGAGAAAGAATATTTACTGCCAAGTCTCCTGCTAACAGTCAGTTAGGGAGGAGGTTTCTTGGAAAGGCAATTCCTAGATGAGAGATTAATCTCAATAAAATTTTTTTTTTTTTTTAAATAAACCTCGCAGACACACAAACCACAAGCACCCAGCTGCTTTGCGGTCTGTAAACTACAGAGAGACCCAAAACTATTTATACCAGTCTGTTATAACTCACAGAACACAATCACAATATATGTTAATGGATACAGGATGTGCATAAACTAGTCTTTAAAATGCATTTTACTAGCAGGAGAGATATGTGGCTGGTATATAAAATTACTGTGCAATTTACCAAAAAAGTCACTCCAGATTCAAGGAACACTCCATTTACCATAACTACAGGACACTGTAGTAGTTATAGTGCAAAGAGTGCCTTGTTGTGCTCCCTTCCCCCAAAGAATCAAACTGTTTGCTAAAAGTCTGAATTCTTGCCTAGGGTTTACCAGGTTCTGCTCCCAGCCTCTTGGAAGCCCAGAGCAATCTTCACTGAGCTAAAGCTGGTGCTGCAGACTAACTCAGCAAGTCAGCTAACCATGCACGGCAGGGCTTAATTCAGAAAGCCCAACGGAAGCTACTGGCAGGAGCTATCAACTCTCAATACTGGTTGCAAAAAGGCAGTGACTGATGCCCTGGAGGACTCCTTTAAGAAGCCAAATATTTAATAGTTGCAACTATAAAAACAACATTTTAACCAAGTTAGGTATGAAAGAAAAATAAATCTTTACTGCATACATTACAAAGTATGTTTAGGGTAGCGCAACCAGCATGCTACAGCGAACACAGTCTAGTTACAGAGTATGGAATGAATCTGTTTGGTAACTTGGCAAACAGAACTTAAGAATGGGCACGGTTACTGGATCCCTAAGTACCATATATTTAAATAAGCTTTTTAATAGACGTTACCTTCTGCACCACTCCATGGGGAAAGTGACATCACATCAGGAATATTAAATATATGCATTTGATAGCACAATCTATTCTTTACATTACATTTCCAAACTCCTATTAGACACACTGACATTTTATATATGGATGAGGAAGGTGTAAAGTAGCAGTAAGTTTTACAAAATTGTGTGTATTTGGTAAATATATTAATTATAGGGCTTTAATCTTCGTGTATTCAGAATTATAAATAAAAAAATTAAAAAAGAAAACAGAGCAGCACAACAAGTTAGAAAAAAAAAAAACACGTAAAAAATCCAAGTAATTTAGTCGCTACCATGGTGGAGAATTAACGAGAATATTTTTATTTTGTAGTTTTGGTAAACCAAGCCCCTGACTTATTGTAAAGGAACACTTCACCCATAAAGCACTTCAGCGAGGGTCTGGATTTTAATGAATAAAACAAGTGTGTGATCTTTGGCTTGGACATCTATGAGTTGTATATTTACTGCACTCCCCTAGTACCTTACTGTTGTGTAGAGGACATGTAAGAAAGGGATGTAAAATGGAAGACTAATTTAGTTGCGTATCATGAGTAGTGTTAACAGCCGTTTGCACTAGTAGAATGCCTACATTCTCTATCAGAGCACTAGTAGAGTGTGCATGAGGAGTGTTCGATTCGTTAAACAATGGATCGTGTCGACCCTAACCTATGTGGGTGGAGTGTTCCTATATTTAATCTATATTTTGGGACGGTGAAGTAACCGAGAAAACCTTGAAACTTTATGCGTGACATTAGCTTTACAGTTCATAGAAAGGCATTGTGGCAATGCTAAGCTTGCCTGATAACGAATTGATAGCAGTAATTACAGACTTTTCTTTGCAAGTCCTTTACTTTGGATCAACCTTAGCATTACAAGTACAATTGGGGAGCGTAATTTTAATAGATAAGTGTATGTCAAAGTTAAATATTTCGAGATTGCATTAAGAGGAAAAAATATATATATATATATTCTTTTTAAAAGAAACAAAAACGATGTGGCAAACCTAGCCACTTATAGACTATTGTGTATGTATATATTATATTATATTAATATATATATATATATATATATCTCTGACTGTTTCCTTTGTGTCTCCATCCAGGAGAAACTTAACCCGTTAACTGTATTTGCATAACCAGGTTTCAGCTACTGTTCCTATGTATTTGTGTGTCTCATGCGTACGAATGCCACTAACCTGAGGTTTCAAGCTTCACGAACAGGGGATTCCAACCCTGTTCGTGAAACGAACAAAATATCGAATAAGAGACCACCCCAGAAGGTCGTGTGACGCTCATTAGTAAACCGAAACATTGTATCCATTCTTAATCAGTGTTGTGTGTGGCCGCCGTTCGCATACCGAACACATTGCGGCGGCCATCTTTGCTTTGTTGGATTTCAGCGGTGTTTGGTTGTCGAGTGCCTGGAACTGAAATTGGTCACTTGATTTTCAAAACACAGGTGAACTTCCATAGCATTCGGTAATCTCTCACCTTCGGGAAATTAAACCCATTCGTGAGTTTTCTCTGTTAAGACCCCATTCGTATGAATGTATATTGTAAGTGGCATTCGGTTGCAGGGATCAGAGCGGTACTTCGGTATATTGTACCGATTGATCCCTGCAATCTAATGAGGGGTAATTCGGTGGAATATGAGGGGAATTGCTAAAGTTATACATTTTAATGTAAAAGACTATTTTCTGTACCAGGAGATAATCCCAGTTCATTCCTCTGGCTACCTAATGTACCCCCAAATACTATCCAACATTATGCCAGATTAACTCTTCTGCCACCACCTAAGAACTTTTGACAAGGTTTTCCCGTGCAACCGAATGATGTTCCTTTAAGGCGAATTCAGCAAATTCCTTTATAGAATTATCAGTCAGGTCAACCTTGTGAATTCAGATAATAGAGCCCTGAGACAGAATTAGATTATTTGCCTTTTCCTTAGTAAAATATTAATAAAATAAATGTTACACAGTGCCGAAATTACATAAAACAGAAAGGACATCTAAGAAACACAACAGACCAATGCACATATCAGTTCTTACTATAAAATGGGACTTAAAACACAGAGCCTACAGTTGTGCAAATATCATCGAGAATCTTACAAGCAGGCCAGTGAGATGTTGATCAAATAATGTCCAAAAGAAGTTCAATTAGATACCAGACTTTTTTCAGCAAAGCATGCCCGTTCTGACCACATGACCAGTCTATGATGCCTAGTTTAATTGCGGTTACGGATGTGGACCTATTTCTTCGATTCAGACATGGAGTTAATCTAAGATCCTTCTCTGTGAGGGCCTCAATAATGTATTGCAGGGTTCAAGCTGTGGCATAGCAGTGGGTCTCTATGGAGGTGTTGTCATACAGAAACAGCAATGCTCTGTGATCAGAATGGTTTCACTTCTTACCAGAATAATCAAAACTAAAAAAAAAAAAAACTGGGCTACTACTGGCAGTTGAAATAAATTTAATTAAACAAATTTTCCAGATGTGAAAAGACTTAGACAAATATAGTCTTTCCTTTAGAAAGTAATGATGGTTTGTGCAATAACCAGACTAGTCAATATTGGCTGATAACATCTGATTATGTTCTGTTCTTTTTGCAACCACCACCAAGGAATAAATGAATGCATTGTTCACATACACGTTCCCAGATTTACATGGGTTTCTATGCAATGAACTGGTCACCTTTAAGAAAATACTGAATTGAAGCGCTATCACGATGCTTCATTTTTCACAATATTGAGTAATTGATGAAACGTTACTGAATTTTTATAAAATAACACCATATTAAAGGTTTTCCATCACTTCTCTGGAAATTACACCATTGAGAAAAACATTGAAATGCACTTTAACCTTTTGCACAAGATGGAATAGTGAAGATCGAGCACAATTGACATCACATTCCAATGCAGTATCTTGTTTTGTGCTTCTAAATTGACTACATGTCCAATGACAACTAAAGGCTGCCAATGTATCTGTAGTCACATTCAATGACTATTCCCAAACAATGACTGACCACTCCTACACCAACAAGTGCATGCACCTAAAATCCCCAAATCCAACAATGTATAACCCTCTCCCTCCCTCCCTCATTACCTCACCCCAGTAAACACTACTGAAACACGTACAGGGGCACAGTGCAACAAAAGGACTGAAAAATAAAACAAAATCAATTAGAAAAAATGTTTCTAGAGCTGTATCTCAGTTTTCCAAAAGCCCGTTTTACGTAGTTTGACAGAATACTAGGCTCTCCTGGTACCCACAGCTGCCCCCCAACTGCAGTATCTATGGTACTTACAGAAACTTTATGTAAAATATTACAGAGAAACTGCTGCTTATATTAACTCTTAAGTGCCCATCCACCATTCTCTAAGAAAGTCAATTGTAACCGGAAAGGACATTCAGGGCCATTCTGGGGCTGCGAAGGATTTTAAAAATAAATAAATGTTTTTAACCTAATTTGTAAAATTAGAAAGTGCTTCAAACTGGTTATTTTGCATCAACGGCAAAAACAGATATTGAGAAAGGCTTAAGTCTTTTTCGGCCTATATAATCATGTAACAAGTAAACTTTGAAGAAACTCTAATGTTAGGAATACACAACTGTATTCCTAGCACTATAGTGTCCTTCACCCTGCACCCTCCCTCCCAAAATTAAAAGGGTTAAAAATATTCACTTATCTGTTTCCAGGCTCGGTGTCCTTCAGTGACGTGTGCATGCGCCACAAGTATATTAGAGCTCCCCATAACAAAGCATTAAATCAATGCTTTCTCATTGAGATTTTAGAGACGCTAGCCATCCTCATGCACCGCATGAGAACCATCAACATCATTTAATGGAGTTTGACTGTGAAAATACAGAAAGCGCCTCTAGTGGCAGTCTTCCAGAAAATATAAACCTTGCAGTTTCTCTAAAACTAATGTTTTACACTGCAGGGTTAAGGGGACATGGACACTGCACCCATACCACGTCAATGAGATTAAGCTGTCTGGGTGCCTAAAATGTCCTTTTAAATGGGAGCAGCCACTTCTATGGAAAATACACTTTTTAATAAAACTTTGAAAATCAACTATAACATCCATTCATTTTTTCTTTCATGAGATCGGTAAAAATATATTCAAGATTTAGCAAACAGCATATTTAAGATAAAAAATAAAGACATTGATTATTTCTCCTTTTTTCCTGTATGTTTTCTCTATGCTGACTGCCAAGCACAAAAGGACAGAACGAAGATGGTGTGGATTTCTACATTAGACTATATTTCACAAAAACATGTTTGATAAAAGTACTGATAATTAAACATTAAAAATCCAGGGGGGGGCAGAGCTTAACCACAGAGCCGTATGGACGCCATCATCCACGGCTCCCCAGCACCAAGACACAATCCGCCGCGCATCTCAGGTAGGGGAGGCCATCAACCCGCAGGACCCACGGCTACCCACCGATGCCCTTTTTATACACACAACCGGGCAAAAAACGAGTCCGTAAATCCCGGGCCTACCTCGCTCTCCCGCCGGCATCGCAGCTATCCGCGGGACTCTCCCTGAGCCTGGAGGACTGGTGCAGACAGCGGGCAGGTCACCACTCACCCGACAACGAAATGGGGAGGCGATCACAGAAGCCACAACAGGCAGCACCCAGGGACTCCCAAGACATTGGGACTCTGCTTCAACGCACAGCAGGCCACAAAATGGCAGCAGAACAAGATCAGGAACCTGGCCCCACACACTCCGTACAGCTGCCCCAGGGAAGCAGCACAGACATGAGAGCTGAAGCCCCCAGCAGCCCACAAGCAGAGGGGGAAGACTCAGCCCCAGCCACTAAAAGGGATATCAGACACCTATTACAGGAGATGAAGGGGCTGTTTGACACAGACATAAATCTAATACGCACAGAAACGCAGGCAGTGACGGCACGAGTACAGGCCTCTGAAGAAGACATACTAGACCTCCGACAAGAGGTGAAAAGCATGGGGGACGCCCTGAAACATTTACAGACAGCGAACTCAGCGCTCCAAAACACGCTAGACGCCATGGACGATCGCAGCAGGTGCACACATATTAAGATCTGGGGTATCCCTGACGCAGTGGGATCATCCGAATTACCACAGTACCTGAGGAGACTCACGGCCACAATACTGCCACATACACAAGCCAAAAAGCTGGAATTTGATAGCCACTTCCGCATTAACAAAGCAAAAAGGGCACCCACAATGGCTCCAAGGGACGTCATCGTCCGCTGCCATTCCATGACAGACAAACGCCGCATACTAACAGCAGTGAGAGACAAGACACCCTTGGCCTTCGAAGTCTCACAACTTACCTTCTTCCAGGATATCACGCGGAGCACCCTACTCTGGAGAAAGTCCTTGAGCAACGTAACGGAACAACTGCGGAAGGGGAACGTAGAATAAAGATGGCTGTTGCCAAGAACCCTGGAGGTATTCAGCGGAGAAGAGGTTCTAAAACTCACCTCACTCTCGGAGGCCCCAGCACTTCTCCAAAAATTGGGACTAATTCAGAACGCCCCAACACCAGCCCCCCACTCATGGGACCCAGACAGAACAGTACCATACGTCCCCAGGGGCAACAAGAGACCAGAGGCAGAGACCTGAACACCTCAAACTGTTTACCTTTTAATTTCCATGCTCTGCTATTCTCTCCCCTTCTCTGATCTCACCCTATTGCTCTACCAAAATACAACATTTTACTAATAACTCCCCATACAAAGACGGAGACTAACTCCCAACCCCATGTGACCCTCTTAGGTTAAGGGCCAACACTACCTACTAATCCAAGCATAGCAAACACGGCACAAAACCCACACTCAGGCACAGACAGACGCACATATACAACTTTAACCGGCGATGAACGGCAGCACTTCACAATCACCAACACCCTCCCTCAAACAACCGAGAGAAGTGCCACTTAACCGCTCACAGGACCCAAGCAACAAAGACACAATCACTCACAACCAGCTCACCCTATGGGGACCTACCGCATGGGCACACTCGACACATTAGAAAAACAGAAAAAGTGCAGAAACACGACAACAAAGTTCTCCCTGACTACTAGGACGCAGGTTAATTCCTCTGACCATAGAACAATAAGAAACGCACTGTATACTTGCTGCCAATCCTACGCTCCTGATATGTTATAACTGTAAAATATATAGACTAATCCTGATCCATGGCAACAACAATGCTGTTTACTAATCTGCCTATGTTGAAAAGGCAGCACAAGTATGTTATGTTTTGTTACATTTCTCAATGCACAGAAAATAAAGAATTTAAAAAAGAAAAAAATCCAGGGGAAGAAAATAAAAAAACACATGTTTTTCTTTGTTTTCTGTATGATTCACTACATAAAATAGCAATTCCATACTAAGCTCAATTAAGAAAACAGTTTATATATATTAAAAAAAAAAATTGTAAAATTTTTTTTTTAGGCAATTTGTTTCGGCATTCCAAAAATGAATAAACTGCATAAAGCTACCCTCAATCCAGAAACTGGGATTCATCAGCATGACAGGTCAAGGAAGCGTCAACTAGAGCGAATAACAGAACACAAGACTCTGGGTAAAGGAAGGGCAGAGCATGACTCAAATACGGACATGCAAAATAAATCTATGGCAAAATATTACATCACAAGCCCCATTGATTTGGGAAAAAAAAAAAAACTTTAATCCTTTTCTCAAACAAAATTAAGAAATAACGCATCAATAACAGATTTACTTTCAGCTTTAATAGCTTACAAATATAAATGTATATATTCATTTGCATTAGGAGCGGTTATGATTAAATCAGACGTCTATCCTTCATCCCAGTGATGCAAGTGTATCATAGGGCTACAAGAGTTGCATTACTATAATATCCATAGTCTAGTTCCGCTGTGATCCTGTCCCTCTGATTAGCGACCGACCAGCACAATCCTCTCAAATCATTCATTGCCAGCATATCATGGACTCAGAAAGGAGATTAACACTTATAGCAAACAGAGGAACCACCTGTAGAACGGTTCTCCTGCTATTTCATATTACTTAATCTGCTGGACGGGGAAAAAAGACTTCATATTTAAAGAGCATTCAATTACAGTGCATACATTTGTGTCCATTTCTTATTATATAATGTGTATATTACCTTTTATGTTCTTAAATGTAAACCTAGGTCATGTTTACCAAGAACACCTTAACAGGGCTAGGCAATATCTCAATGACAACAAGCAGGAAAATGAATAGAGAACTAGAAGTTCTGGAAATATAAACTAGCAAAATGTGACAAGAAAACCAAGTTCAATAGTTTAAATTGAGCTTAAAGTGACACAGTGGGCACCATAACTGCTTCATCTCACTGAAGTGGTTGATGTTGAATGGAAAGACTGCACCATGGGACTCAAGGCACTATAAAGGGTTGCTCTAATCATCATAATCAATATAGCCCACTATAGTAGTACTGAAGAGGGCCCAGTTTCCCAGTAATGGGGCAAACCGATGCTAAACCTGGGTCAATGCCTTCATCATTCGTTGGCTGAGCGTGTCAGCTGACTGCTTTCAACAAATGAATGCAATTCTGTGTAATGAAAGTTGCACAGAATTGACATTCGCCAGCCCTCCATAACGTTGCTGCAGGTGGAGTTAAACCCATCTGCTGCCGCGGGTGTAACGCCACATATACAGTGTTTCATATCGACCATTTTTTATTTTTTTCATGCATTACACCAGTAACACATCCCCTGTAAACCACCATTACCAGCGCGCAGGCAGCCATTAATATGTCAATATATCTTTGATGGAAGATTGTAATTTACCACGAACACTGAGATGTTATTTGAAGGGGCAGGCCAAGGAACCACACACATTAGTTACCATGTTCAGCACGGTGGTCTGTTTTCTACAGAAAAAATACTTCTGTAAATGACATGAGTTTTCTCAGGTTACAGGAAGTATTTTAGGGGTTAACTTTCTACAATGCAACTCAGAAACACATTCCTCCAGCCTATGAAGCAAGGTCGGGTTGCTATAGAAAGTTTACATCACTTCCTCTTTGGGAGAGCTTGCCGAGCAGCTAATGAACTGGCAGCAAATACAGGAACTTAAAATAGTTTTAATTAATTTTCTCTATAATATATATATATATAGCCATGAGTATCATTTTTAGCAAGGTGATTGGTGCAATTGGCTTTCACATGGCCTGAAAGTACTAAACTGCCGCTGTTGGAATGCCTATAGCAACATGCATATAATCCACAGCAACCGCAGGTTTTAGCGATATCTTGCTATATGGCTGTGTAACACTGTTTTTGCATTGAACGTGCCTTCTGCAATTTAAAAGGTGCAGATTAGGTTTAAATTACTAGTCCGTAACACTCTACATTTAAATATCACGATTTAAATGTAAAGACTCATTCTTGCTGGTTGTTAGAATTGTTAATATTTGCCACCAGGTGAACTTTTCCCATTCAGAATAACAACTTTTCAGAATAGTTTAACAGTTAAACAAGAGTCGGCGCATTCACGCACTCATCACCAACCTCACTAAATTGGGTCTCCTGGAGTAGTGGCAGGCTTATGCAATGTATCAAACCATGACCAAATCCCCATTATTTTTGCCAAAGTCAAGTGCTTTTAATTAAACCACTACGTGTTGTGTGTTTTGAAGTTGGTGTCTAGTGAGTGCGCTGGATTGTGCGTGTGTTACATAAATTTGCCACAACACCTACCTTATAGTTTAAAAGTTCTAATAGAATTAATTTTGTATCGTTAGTGTGTGTATAATATATCCTTTAAAAAAAACTATCCAAAGGATCAAAATCTGTTGAAAATAATTATTAAATTATCAGACAAATTATTTCTAAAAGCTTTTCTAGCAGATTGTGATCATTTGAAAATTGTACAAATAAAAAAAAAGACTGTTGGAATTTCACTAAAATGCCAACACAAATCAAAAGAAATCATTAAGACAAATTTGGGGCTACTTTATGTATTTTGTCCTACGCTTGACAAAAGGTGAAGTTACCGCAGCCAAGCCCATAACCATCATTAGACATTAGTGTTTTGCTCATGCGCAAGAATATGAGTACAGCACGGATGACCGCTTCTGTCAGAAGAGGACCCCTCGGAGGCCACGAAGAAGTAGTTCAAGTAAAAGCTACTTTTCCCTATGCCCCTGGACCACTGCACTGGAAGCAGAGTAGAAGGTAACAGACTGAGTTATTTTACTTAAATTGAAAACTAGCTTTAGATAGATTTTTTTCCTCCAATGTATTTCATTAAACGATTTAATTTAAAATTATTTTTAATTTTTGATAATCATAATTTTTTCCACCCTGCAATTTAATGTGTAACTTTACATTGATTTCATGCTGGAACACACACACTTTATCACTATTGGTTTTCATTGTAGCGTACTGGGAGAACTTTCAATACTCAGAGCAAAGAATACCAGGGACAAACATGAGGATTTTGATGAGGAAAATAAATAACGTAGCTGTCCAGGATCTTATTTTTATTACAAGAAAAAGACAGCGAGGATTTAAAAAAAAAAAGTGGATATTGCATGTGCAAATACTTTAAAGGGGCAGTCTACAAACCACAAACACAACAACTCTAAGTAGCAGTTATGGTGCTATGAGTCATTGGGTGCCATCCACCCATATTCTGTCTAACAGATTAGGAGTGCTTTGACAAAAACTGGGGATCCCAGCACAAAAAACCTCAGCGAGAATGCAGATCAACTCAAGCTTAAAGGAACACTATAGTCATTATTGCCAACTTCAAACTTTGTTATGTAAGACAGAGTAGTCTCTACAGAGGATTGAGCAGTGAGGCTGCAGGGGCATGTTCTATACACCAAAACTGCTTCATTAAAGCTATAGTTGTTCAGGTGACTAGTGTCCCTTTAAATCAGTTGAAGCTATATTGCGGCCTGAGCTTGCAGTCTATCAGACTGTAGCAGGAGGATGAGGGGAGGAGGGACATCCCCCTCAGACTAATGGCACCATACTCATTACAAAAAGCTGAAGTGGTTATGATGCTTAGACTAATCCTTTAAAATGTCCCTTGGCGCACAACACAAATTCATTTACGCTGCTCTATGCAATCAAAAGTGATAACACTGTTTATTGCAGTATTGCACTGTCAGCATATGTACATAAACTCCTCATGTGCTTGCAACGAGTGCATCTTCTGATACAACGCACTCACAAAAGTCCCAAAGAAGGCCAAAACGACCAACCGGGGCTGCTGCATCTCTCATGCCGAGGGAATTTGCCAACATTTTATATTAGGACTGATCCAACCCTTACCTAATGTGCGGGATCAGTCATATAAAAAATGCACAAGTGAGCATTTTTATTTTTCCCCCTTTTCTTTTTTTAAAGACTGGAGTTTGAGACTAACTGTAGGCCATATTGAGTTCCCCCCCCCCCCCAATGCCTAGCACACAGCAGGACATTCAGCATTGTGAGCACACTGCAGAACACAAGGCTGGTAGGCAGATTCTTAAAAAAAATTATAAATGTAAATAACGTAACAAAATAAATAAAAACATTACGCAATAGAGTACCATTATTAGTACAGCGCCAACGGCATGGAGTTCATGTTATTCTTTTATTAAGCAATCCAGGAGTTTGTTCTTATACATAACCTTGAAAAATATGTTTTTGGAATGGTATTGAATGCAGCAAAACAATAACCACACACACTGATTTGTGTTCATTTTTATCACGACAATGACTCTCCCCCTCAGGGCAGGCTATTTAATGGCAGGCCAACAATGCCATTGCCACAAAGTGCACGCTCATGCGACACAGCAGGTGTACGGACAGGAGCGTGAAAATAAAGAAAACGTTTACCAGAGCGTTATAGAGGAAGGTAAGTAATAAACCCAACAACAAACAATTCATATGTTCACCTACGACCCTGTGCTAGATTTATGAAGAGGAAAAAATAAAATAAAAATAGAGCCAAATATTAAACAGAACACAAACCGTAAACAATTTAACAGACTACATACAAAAGGGGGAGGATTTTCACAATTTCAAGCAGCCCTGTCACAGCAATATAATAGGATTGTATAATGGCACAGTCCTTATGAAATATGTATATTGACCGTGTATGAACATGATCAAAAGTAGAGACTACTCTGTCTTACATAACAAAAAGTTTGAAGTTGGCAATAAACTTTACAAAGGGTGATGATTTTGGAAACAGGCAACTCCTCACACATCACCAAAGCGGATGTAAAGGGGATCCTGCGGTCTTGCAGGGTCTTCCATAGATCTCTGTGCTGAACACTCGCGCATGTTAAGAGCAGAGCAGCGATGCAGGCACATGGCAGAAGGCGCACCAGGAGCTGAAGATGGTGGCAAAATACACAAAGACTGGTAAAAGTGACAGACACTTCAACTCTTATTTCTCATTGTTACATAGTTCTTTCTTGCAAACTTTAGGAAAAAAAAAAAAAAAACTGTAAAATTAAAGCAAAACCATCTAGCCCCTCTGGCCCCCACCCTCAATGCTTTCACATAGGATTGCTTGAGACTGTTATGGAGGCAGATTAGGGGCAGAACCAGTACAAGTCAAACACAGTCCTGGCCAATCAGCGTCGTCTCAGGCATGCAGAGGACAGAGACCCTGGATGTCAGGACTGCGCACTGTACAGCACTGCCCCAGAAAGCTCTTCTAGCGGCCATCTGAGGAATGGCCAGTGAAGTTATCACTAGGCTGTAATGTGAACACTGCATTTTCTCTGACAAGACAGACAGTGTTTACTCCAAAAAGCCTGAAGGGAATGATTCTACTGACCAGAACAAATACAATAAGCTGTAAGCTGGTCTGGGGACTATAGTGTCAAGGCTCTCAAGATAATTATAACTTACTGAGACAATAGCAGACCAAGTGTACACTACATATTGCTCATAAAGATATCATACACCACAACAAACAGTTTTGTCCCATATCATTATGGAAAAGCTCTGCAGTTTTGTACATAGTCCTGACCACAATCTCACTGAACATGTTTGGAATGAATTGGAAAGTCAACAACCACCCAGTCTAACCAACCCATGTCTGGTCTCACTGAAGTTCTAAAGCAAATAACCGCAGCTCTCTTTGTTGCACTATGTTTTACATTCTAGGTCTAGCAGCTAAACAAGGAAATATTACACATTAAAAAGGGACTGCAAACGTGATAAAAGTGGCTTAGTATGGAATGATTGGTCAAAATCGCTATAACTCTAAGACAGCCCCTAGAGGTGCCAATACTTCATTTTAGCTGTCTGATATCAGCTTTGTCTAACTTTAAACTGTCTCCCCTCCCCCACAGAGCAACAGCGGTATGAACTTTTCTCAGGAGTTTATTTGATAAGAGCCTCTTCTTGGTTAGAGTGGATCTACCTGTAGCTTTTTATATACATTTTTAAAATTATTTTAATACACCATCTATTTAAAATAAATAATAAATAGGGGGTTGGTTTGACCTCATTATCTCTCTTTTGGTTAACAATCAATCAGGTTTCCACATACTTTTGCCCTGTCCTGTATTAAAGGGACCATAGGCACCCAGACCACTTTTCTCATTAAAGTGGTCTGTGTGCACTGCCATATTCCCCTTAACCCTGCAATATAAAACATTGCACTTGTAGAGAAACAACGATGTCCTGCATGAGGACATTCGGAGTCTTCAAATACCCCATTGATTTAATGCTTTCCTATTGAGAAGGCCTAGCACGTGCACTGCGCATCAGATTTCCCCTCGGCACCAACAGAGGAGGCAGTAACGGAACAGCGCAGAGGTAAGGTGAGTGAATTCAATGGTTATTTAAAGGGAAGATATGGAGTCAGGAATAATCAATGCATCACTAAGAGGAATGCTGAGCATGGAGATGTTGAACACCAATGCTGTACACTGTGCAGCACTGACACAGGAAGCACCTCTAGTGGCAGTCTGAGTGACCGCCAGTAGACATGTTCCTAGGCAACAATGTAAATACTGCCTTTTCTGTAAAAAGGCAGCGTTCAGAGTAGTCAGCCTGCAAGGACAGGCTATAGACACCAGGACCACTACATAAAGCTGTCGTGGTTCTGGTGACTATAGGGTCCCCTTAACCCTTTAATGCTGGGGGTGCACAGAGCAACACTTTAGTGTTGGAGTACAGCTTTGCATTTTGCATTCCAGATACAAAAAATGTATTCCTTTAAACAAGAACTAGACCTGCTACATCAGGCTCCTCATTGCTTCAAAATAAATCATTAGATGAGAAAAAAAAAACAAAAACACAAATTTAAAACTAAAAAAAAAAAAAAAGGGGGGGGGGATGGGGACTTTTTTGTAAAGTGCAATTCAAGGTTACTGAACTGGCTCTCTAGATAGAGACTAGAATATCACAATACGTTCTAAAGTCACAAAAACAGTACATAGAGTATACGGATTAAATTAAGGAATCATTTTCACACTCCAAGTGCAATTAAAGAGGTGAACAACTCCGTTGTCTTAAAAAGTTAGTAATTGTACGTATTCCACAAACAGCACAAGCTATGGGATGGTTATTGGTAATGTACATGTTCCAGATACTAACTGACCGACATCTTGTAACTACATTATTACATATAGATACAGATGGATAAACTCATTAATATCATGACATCCTTTACATGTCACCTGTCAAGACTGGGATAATCAACTGAATGCTCCCATATAGATCCTGCCCCCAGTAAAGGAAGCTGTAGGGCAGACACATTAGTTGGCCTAACCAAGGCTTCTAAGTTAAATCAGGAGAGTCTGCTTAAAGGTGTTCGTAAATACTGCCTTGTTTTCAGACCAAATAAAAACAAACAAACAGTCTCCTACCTTCAGGACTCTGCGGACAAAGTGCATTGGGAAGGGAGACTGGTTTCAGTCTATATTATCTTATTTTGTTAAATTATAAAAGGAAACGTGGTTTAAATTACTATTCAGTTACATGTTAAAGTCTATATAAAATTTGCCATAAACCAATAACTACTAGTCATTTATTTCAGAGTTTCAATGTGCACTCAATGTAGATTGCATTGCAGAAGAGCAGTCCACAGGATGTAAATGACAAAATACAAAATTAAAAAAAAATATAAAATTCTATATCTAGAGGACAAACAAAAAATTAATAAAATCACAAAATACTTTATTGTGACAAAAAAGTAACTGACTATATAACAATATTCAGAGAATATCATATCTCATCTACAATACAGCATGTCAGCATTGAATTCACAAGAAAACAAACCTGGCTGACTGCACAGCAGCGCTAATTAAAAAGTGTTCTCTAAGGAAATGCCTTATCTTGGGAATTTACACACATATGCCTATAAACTAGAGACTTCCATTAAAAAAAAAAAAAAAATCAATTTAGGCTGAAAACACAAAACAAAACTCCAATTGCACAAGATCTTCCATATAAACACCGCTTCCCCACAATAGATGGAATCTTTGCCTAGTTTGGTGACACACAATGCCATCCCCAAATATAAACACATAGTGTATGCAAGGTCTTTCAATCTCCTATCCTGGTTATACAGTTGCTTGCACGGTGATAAACAAAGGAACAGATTGCGTAGTATTCTGTTCACCAGATATCTTCGTGTGTGGACTCTTACCTCCTGCGGGGACAAACACTTGTCCCACAATGTTCAGCGTGGTTTGTAAAATTAGTCATGGTGGTATGAAACTACTTTAAAACACAGCACACGCAGAGATATTTGCACATTTTCTGCTGGTATCCAGCTACATCGCAGCACACGCGACTTCGGCTTTATTCCAATTCTGTGCAAAAATAAGTGTTGACAGTGCACAGTGCGTGACGGCAACCGGCGCGGTCAGCTTTTCTCCTTACAGGCAGCGCTGGGGGTGAAGATAATTTCAAAGACAGGTGGGATACAATCGTATACTTAAAATAAAAAAACATAAACTGGACATAGTGCAACACATTGTATATCAACTAATTTATATACACAGTGTCCGGTTTATGTTTGTTTATTTATTTGGGGGCTGGGAGGGGGGGGGGTATACGACTGTATCCCACTTGTCTTTAAAATTATCTCTACTCTATGTGAGATAACTTACAGGGAAGCTGTATATGAAAAAGCCAAGTTAACTTGATTTATCTCTGAGTGGCACTTTGTTGGTGTTTAAAGGGATATTTCTACATGGGAGTGTACCTGCAAGGGGAAGCTTGATCTCCTCTCCCTCAGCAGAGTGTTCCTCACCTTCCCCACCTCCCTATAGTGCTCAGATTTTTTTGTATTTTTTTTCCCCCTCCGCGGCATCTCCATGAGAAGCATTAGACTGGACCATGCGAGGGAGGTTGTAACATCTGACGTGGCGTGGGATTCAGCGAGGGAACTTTGCCCAGCGCTGGATTCCAAGTAACTTTTTCCTTTACAAGTTTGTGGGGGTTTAATACGGCCCAATTGGGTATTCTACATTTGAAAATCCAGTTATTTATAAAGGGTTGGAGTAACAATAAGAGCAGAACTGTAATGTCAGCATCCAAAAAAGGAGAGCATGTGCTGAGGTATTAAATATTATTAACTGTTCTATTAATAAAGGTTCAGGCATTCATGCTGTCTCTCTGGCATGACTAAACACAAGATCAAGTAACCTCTGTAATGTACAGTACTAGTAGCATCTCAAGGTGACAGTAGGGTGTGTGCAATGGCACTAAGTGACCTTTAAAGAGAAAAAAAAAAAAATACACCCCCCCCCACTGAAGCCAAGCGCGCACACACACACACACACACACACCACCCCCCCACTGAAGCCAAACACACACACACACACACACACCCCCACTGAAGCCAAGCACACACACACCCCCCACTGAAGCCAAGCACACACACACCCCCACTGAAGCCAAGCACACACACACACCTCCACTGAAGCCACACACACACACACACACTGAAGCCAAGCACACACACACACACCCCCACTGAAGCCAAGCACCCACACACACACACACACACACACCCCCACTGAAGCCAAGCACCACACCCCCACTGAAGCCAAGCACACGCACACACACCCCCCACTGAAGCCAAGCACACACACACACACACACACCCCCACTGAAGCCAAACACACACCCCCACTGAAGAAACACACACACACTGAAGCCAAAACACACACCCCCACTGAAGCCAAACACACACACCCCCACTGAAGCCAAACACACACACCCCCACTGAAGCCAAACACACACCCCACTGAAGCCAAACACACCCCCACTGAAGCCAAAACACACCCCCCACTGAAGCCAAACACCCCCCACTGAAGCCAAACACACCCCCCACTGAAGCCAAACACACTGAGCCAAACACACCCCCCACTGAAGCCAAACACACCCCCACTGAAGCCAAACACCCCCCACTGAAGCCAAACACCCCCACTGAAGCCAAACACCCCCACTGAAGCCAAAACACCCCCCACTGAAGCTTCAAACACCCCCCACTGAAGCCAAACACCCCCACTGGAAGCCAAACACACCCCCACTGAAGCCAAACACACCCCCTGAAGCCAAACACACCCCCCACTGAAGCTCAAACACACACACACCCTCCCCACTGAAGCTAAACACACACACCACACACACACTCCCCACTGAAGCAAACACACACACCCCCCACTGCCAAACACACACACACCCCCACTGAAGCCAAACACACACCCCCCCCACTGAAGCCAAACACACACACACACCCACTGAAGCCAAGGTAGGGGAATGACACTCATTAGGCATCCAGAGTCACAATCTTCTTGCAAACCTGTCAATCAAGTATTAACAGACATCTCTGTCAACAGCCAACGAGTGACATGGTTGAGCAGGAGAACTCTCCTACAGGTGGTTCTCCTGCTGTCATAGCAACTACAGAAGTGTAACATATCTTCTTGGTTTGTTCGAATTTCAGAGGAATTCCATTACAGTCTGAGTTTTAAGATAAATATTCAATCTTATCTAAAACTCAGTAATGTTTTAAAAACACTTATCTATTTAAAATGTCCATTTTGTTAGTGACACCTCACTCTTTTAGCAACTACCACCACTCCCACAGAGAAAAACAGCCAGACCTTCATGAGATAATTATACCTAAACCCATTACAGAAATTAATATTTGTATTAAATCTAAACTACGTAATTCTTCCATAGACCCACACATGCATGACAGAACAAAGAATGACCTATTCTTGAAGGTTGGAAGATGGCGATGCCAAGAAAAGTATATTTCTCTTCTATCCCCAAGTACCACTATGTAAACGGGCATGTCACCTGGTGGGTCTTTCCAAAAATATGCAGAGACTCCAAGTAATAGTGATCCTCTAAAAAGAAATGTTGTACACCAATATTTCCACAGAAGTACGCACACTGTACTAGCTCCAAAATAATGCCACAGGTAGGTAATGAAAAAGTGTACAATTTATTGAAAAATAGATCAAGGAAAAAATTTAACAAAAATGGCAGCAACTAGTAGCCCACCTAATAACATGTTGCCTCCAATATGTGTACCAAAATCAACTGATATGCACATTCAAGTAGATGGAAATGAAACATCCTGCATTTACAAAAGGGGGGGGGGGAAAGGCAAAAAGCAGCTGGAGATAGTAAAATCTACTAGGAGAAAAAACAAACAAACAAAAAAAAAAAAACACGACACCAGAGAGGGTCCCAGTGAACCTTCAATGAGGTCCTGGATGTGTTTTGTGCCTGACTTAGCACTCTCTCATGCTCTCAAGGTTTTAGTTAACAACAGAATCCCAACTCTGAGGCTGTGGAGATGGATAGACTATCTACCCCCCCCAAACACATGATACAACAAAGTCATACCATAAGATTTGGGGCCCTTGACTCAGATGCAAGTACATAGGTGAGTTTCTACATTTCAAGAGTTCTACTTATTATTAAGCTACATTTTTTGAGTATGGATGCCCCAATTACCTACTCTCTCCTTCTCCTTTATCCCTGTATCTGGGCTCGGACACTCACCATTCTTGTGTCGTTCTCCCCTCCTTTTATTTCTTGACTCATTCTCCCTCCTCTTGCTTTCTTCTTTAATGTAATTTTTGCACATAACCCCACTCACATGCTTCACTCCATCCCTGCCCTTACTCCCCCAACTCTCCATAATGTTAGTATAGAATCAGAAAATAGCATCATCAAGATTTGGTACCAGAATTTTGAGCACTCAGCATACTGCAATGCTCCTTTTTGACCAAATTCTACTTTTTTCCCCCCAAGCTGGCCTTAATAAATTTCTCCTTTCTTCCCACGGCGTAGCCATATCACTTTGACCTAACTTTCAAATGCAGGATCAGAGTTTTCCTTTTTTGGCATTTAGATGACCTGGTACTCCAAGTAAATCCTGCAAGATCCTATATGTTATAGCACTATGTCTTATATGCATTGTCCCGCCATTGGCACTTATGTATTTTTCCCGGTCTACTGATTAGTTTTTTTGGTCAAGTCTTTCATTACTGATGAAAATATTAAAGATTTATAATTAAAAAAAATAAAAAAAATACAGAATATATAATACTGACAGAAAAGCTTCTGCTAGTGCACAGATACAAAAAAAATGTAAATAAATGACATGTACACACACAGACAAAAAGTGGTAACCTGGTCTATTACCAATTCACTATTTTAATTGCTTAAACAAAAACAAACAATTATTTTTTACCCATTGCAAAATTGTAAAAAGACTAAAACTAGTCTAGTAAACTATTTGCACTCATGAGCTGTGTATGATAGCTTCCACAATTACAGCCACTTACATGAAACTCGGGCTGTTTATAGCTGTGAATCACGAAGCTGTCCTCAGGCCAACACGAGCACTTCAGATTTCAGGAATAATCAATAACGTAACAATCACACAGCTCACATGTGAAACAAAATATAGAGCAGCCATTTTAACAGATGGACCGGACAAGACTTTTTAAAATATAAACAGAGACACAAAAAAAAAATAATGAACAATTGGGTGAATTCAGAGATTTACCCTCTGGTATCGGCTATACTGGGGATAATACAGCAGGAATTGGCTTATATTAAAACCAAATACAAACTACCAATGCCGTGTTCCACATAGAATTTAATGGATCTCTCCATAAACTATTAAAAAGAGAATAAACAAAAGTCAGCAGGGCTGCAACTAATGGCTACCTAGATAATACAGAATGCAGATACGGATTACCCAAACCCTACTGTACACCACTGGCCAGTTTACAATATATTTAAAACCCTTTCAGCATTGGGCGGTGGTTTGTAGTGCTTTTAAGAAACAAAATGGTTAAAAGAAAAAAAACAAATAAAAAAGTGAAGTGTAAATTCAAGCAAGACACTTCTCCGGATATGACGATCTAGTATCGGCTTCTATTCATAAGAATGGTGTATTGTCAAAAGCAATTCATCTTTGTAAACTATAAGCTACTTAAAGAGAGAACGTCTTACCTGTATATCCAGCTGTCCATCCCCAAGAAGCCACCATAGCCAGGAGCCATTTAAACATAACTCCTTCAATGTGCCAGAACAGTTTTCGGTCTAGAAATCTTACAGGTTGCAGAACTATTAAATATAATACATAGGACGGGATTGCAACCATGTTATTGAAGACCATAAAAGTAAATCTCAGGAGCATTCTCAATAGAAGAAATCCCATTTTTCCTGTGCGGTCCATGGTGATGGCCATCTTCAGCGCACAGAGCTGCGGCAACCCCTGGCATCAAATAAAAACAAGATAGATCAGGGACGTTCAATCGGTACCTTAAAACAACTTTCATAGTTTTATCATTTGTGTTATTCAGTAATGAATGATTCACGATTAAAACTGCTGGACCACCAATTTAAAATCAATCAGAAAATTACGGTTTTACTTGGGCTTGCTAAGGTCACGCTCACTACTGGTGTAATTTATGTGTAGGAATACTTTTGTACTATCATGGTTGTTGTAGGCTTACTTGCCTGTTACCATTGTGTACCTCTGACTTCAAGAAAATGTTGTCAATAACTTCTTTAAATAAAGATTGTAAAAAAATAAATTAAAAAAAAGTGTGTATATATACACACACACACACACACACACACAAAAAATATAAAAATGATTAATTCAGAAGAAAGTTTGTACTAGTGACTATACTTCTTGAATAACATGATATATGCTAAAAAACTAATTAAAAAAAACAAAAAAAAAAAATGCTTAAGAACACGTATTGATGATTTTCTTTCGAAACACAAATGTGAATTACCGTAATAGGTACACAGAGACTTGCGAATAGTTAAATTCATAGAAAAGTGGAACAGAGATCAATAAGGATATTAAATAAAAAATCCCCCCCCCTCCCAAAAAAAACAAACAAACAAAAAAAAAAAAAAAACATTTCTAAAGTTAAACATGAAGCATATCTAGGAGAAAGGTGGATATTTGGAGCAATTGTTATGGGAATCAATGAAATGTTGTGACCAACTGCTCCAAATGTAGCGTTTGCCCCAATTGTCCTTTTATGCGTTCCAAAAGGCAAGCCATGAGTTTACTTCATATTACTGCCAGTAAAATTATACACGTACAACACTGCCTTTAGTTTTAGCAAGATTCTCTGTTACAGCTGCCGAGTTAAATCCGTCACAGGCCAGCGTTACCCAAACTTGCACAACAGAGAGGAATTATTCGAAAATGTATTTATTAAAAGCTGAAAAATTACACAATTATTTCCTCACAGCTGCCAGAGTAAAACATGTTAGGTTGGCATTGGTGTTGTAAGGACATGGCACAAAGGAGGGGACACTACTAAAAAAAAAAAAAAAAAAAATTAACTTCCACCGGAAAGCACTGAGTAATGCTTTCCTACGGGTGGTTTGAATACGCGTGGCTTTTGCCACACATGTGCATTCGGCGCTGACGTCGGCAGCAGGAGGTGAGTTCCCCAGCGCTGGAGAAAGGTAAGTGGCTGAAGGGGTTTTAACCCCTTCAGCCCAGCTGGAGGGGGGACATAAGGACTACATAGTGCCAGGAAAACTAGTTTGTTTTCCTGGCACTATAGTGGTCCTTTAAATATCAAGGAAGACTGCAGGTGGGGCAGCCATCCACCTCTGTGACGACATGGTGGCGCTGGAGCATAGAGAAGGGGGGAGTCATGACAAGTTTTCTTTAAATCAAAAGACACTAAAAGTAAACAGAACATCTTAATGATAACATTCTGAACTCACCAACTGATAGCAGCTTGTTAATTTCATTGGCATAAGAAGATATTTATAAAGTGAACCAAGTAGGAGTAATATCTAAAACAAGAAGATGCAAATTCAGGAATAATCCTACCATAAGTGCAAGACCTGTGTTGACGTCCAAATCATGATTACCATTAATACGTGTCAAACAGACAAGCGTTCCCTGCCAAACATTTCCTTAAGTGATAAGAAGGTCCAGAGCCATCACACAGCTCTGAAAACCGTCTCCAATCATTCCGTGCTCTCAACAGTGCTCTCAACAGGAAGGAAAAAAAAAAAAAAAACACACACACAAACAAACACATATCTCTCTCACAACAATGCTTCCAAGGAGACAAATCGAGAATAGTCGCACAAAAGAAATATTCGCCAATGGGACAATGACCCTAATAGGCATATAAAAGAGGATTAAAATTCGGAATTTATGGTTCAATTTTATGTACTACATAAATAATTAAATGGCAGCCCCAAACATCATGTATTATGCTTAAAATACACAATATAGGTGTAGACAGTATGCATGCGATCATACCTCCCAACATTTCAAACTGACTAAGAGAGACACTTTGATTTTAAGTGTGTGAGTGGGGGTGTAACAGTTCTGAGAAAGACTTACTAATAACCTCTAGCATGTAAACTCATTGAGCAGGGCCCTCAACCCCTCTGTTCCTGTGCGTTCATTTGTCTGGTTACAATTACGTGTCTGTTAGTCCACCCATTGTACAGCGCTACAGAATTTGCTGGCGCTATATAAATAAAATAATTTACGCAACTAAAATGTAACTTACAAAAAGTACACTGTTTCGTATTGCTCACAGACTGATTTCTAAGCACTATTATTATTGTAGTTTAAAGACACCTTATTGTATTATGGCTGTGGAGCTCTGTGATACACTCAGACACAAAGAAAAGAGGGACAGAGATTTGGGCCCAAAATAGGGACTGTCCTTCCTAAATAGAGACACTTGGGAGGTGTGCATCGCTCATACAGACTTTCAACACATGGTTGGTTAAGCTCCTTTCCTCCTCTCTCTAAACCACATGACACAGTCTTTTCTATCACCCGTCTTACCAAAAAGCAAGTGCTATAGTGCCTTGTGGCAAGCTCTGCTACAGAGAACACTGATTGACCTAGACTTCAAGGACATTAGCTGAAACATGTATATATGTACAAATGTGCACTGCATTTTATTGTTTGGACTCTATATATAATAAGAGTGTAGCATGGATTTGTAATGATATAAATGGAGGGGTCAAATAAGACCTGCAATCTCCCTAAATAAATACTTGACAATTTTTGTTTATTATTATTATTATTTTTTTTAATAATGTTATTTACTATAGTTGGAACTTAAATATATTAAAATATTTTTTATTAAAAGGATTCTCCAGTCAGCTATGTTGTCAGTTTAGCTATTTTGGCCTATAATGTCAAATTTACTTGGAATCTCTGAAAATTCACACTTTAACAAGTTACACAATATGAAAGAAATTAGAATATATAAATTCCATTTTACACTCTACAGGGGTTTCACCTACACCTCATTGACAAAGACTAGGAAAACAATCTGGCCTTGCAGTGTATCTAGTGAAAGAGGATCTGGTCAGCATTTTGAATCTGGGGTCTTCTTGTTGATAGACATATAACAAGTATAGTTTCTCTCTGTGATGGCATAAACGAGGGGGGATGGGGGGACTGAAGGAGACCCTCTGCTATTCAAATGACAAGGTTACCAAATTTAACCTGTGATAACTGCTTATAAGGGCAAGTTGTAAAAAAAAAACAAAAAAAAAAAAGAGAGTCAACTTAGATTGTAAGCCTATAGACAAGGAACTCATCACCAGTTGCTGTTGACAATAATTGTGTTTGTCAAGTACTCACTGTTATACAACCTCACTGGAAAATGTAAAGGGCTGCAGAATGTGTTACCACTAGCAAACTAACATCAATTAAAATGGGTAAATTTGCATTGGACACCTGCTTCCTTTGTTAATTTTTTTAGCTTACTTTTAAAGATGGATTCCTTTCACCCTTCTCCTAACACTTGTTCAGAATAGGTTCGCCAGGACATACTTAAAACAGCTTATGATTTAGAACGGAAGGATAAAGCAGACGGCACAGAGAGCAAGGGGTTCTCAATGCTGTATTGTGTGTCTGTTAATAAATCCTATACTGAGCAGTGCATGTGAACCCACCACTTGCTGAAACTGTACCAGTTTCATCTGACTCCAGCTCACACTCATGGAGGGGATGAAGTCATGAATCAGGTGCACTTATTAAAATAACAATACGTAGAATGTACGCTAGACTTGTGTGAAACAGCGTTTCAGGTGGGTCGAACAAATCAAATTCCTTTTAATTTCGAGTCATTCGGGATTTACTTGTTGAGTCTTATTCAATAAATACGACTCCACAGGTAAATCCCAGACTGCTTGATTAATTTGGGTGTAGACTAAAAAGGTGTTTAATTCATTTCGATAAACAATATTTTTTAATTTTTAAGTTACTTGCGCACGCTTTCAAATTCCTGTGCATATTTAGAAAAAACAAAAATTAGGTTTTTAATTCCACTCCAATGGCCATTAGACATAAGCCCACCTGTCACCTGTGTATTTGAATTTACCTAGTTTATCACACAGCCATGTAACAGTACGCAGTGTAACTTTTTTGTATGTATTGGGACTGATATGAACCTATGGTCATTGCGGCCATCCAGGAGTAGTGGGAGTCTGAGAGCAGGACTTTATTTTTCTGTATTTGTGTTTAATTAATTCGACCCACCTAAAATGCATTTGTGCAAAAGTCTAATATGCACACACCACTGAAATACCTATAATTTATGTATAGCCTGAACGCCCATGAGCAATATTCAAAAATACATCATAAGTATATTTATTCAAGATACATCATTGGCCCATCAATTGCAGTAATCAATGACATCACTGCAAAAGAACTATGGGCCATTGAACTGAAAGATTATACACAAATATTCTGGTAACTAGAGTTTAGATATAGATACTCACGTGAAAAGTGCAAAGAGCAACTGACACATGTACAGCATGCAATCTGTAGATAGCAAGATTAAAATAGATCTGTGTACCCCGTGTGTCCCATCAAGAGTAGCTACACTAATTAAAAGCATGTTTTATGACCCTACCTACTATACACATGGGAGTGGCAATAATCCATGTCTTGCAAACATCAGATGCAGAAGAAAACCTGATTGAGAGAAATGTAACTTGCAAAATCCTAAGAGATCCCTGCAGGTGACCTATTCTTGTCAAATGGATGGATCTACTCCATTTTAATGCTTTTTATTTATTTATTTTTTTATAGAGAATATATTAGAGACAAAATAAACAAAACTAAAAAAAATAAAATAAAAGGAGATACAGGCTTACATCTGAAGTTCTTGCATTTGCAGCACATTCGTAGGATGTGCAGCTTCTACAGTGAGGTCTCTCCAAACCTGGAAATGACTCCTATGCTAAGCTTAGTCAATTAAAATGCTTCTCCAGGCACATTCAGGGTTTCTGGCTGAGCGATTACAGAATGTTAATTGCAGGACTACAACTCCCAGCACAATTGTTAAGCAAAAAAGTTAAATGCAGCAGCAGAGATGTGGATAAGCAAAAAATTCACCCAGCATGACAAGTGTAACCTGGACTAATCCCAGACAACACACACTACTTTAGTGGATGACCCTGTCATGGAGCGTACATTCCTTGCATTGCTGCTCTGAAGGACACAAGGCTTCATAGACAATGATGTGTCAACGTCAGGAATACATACATAAAATGAATGCAATGTGTAAAAATAATTATAACCATGTGTGAGGTATGCCTCGAGAAACACTGCCCCAAGGAGCTTGCCATCTACTGACAAAGGCATAGAAATGATATTTTAAAGACGCACGGATTTCTCTATAAGGACATAAACCCAGGAAGTGTAGTGCCCACACTGATCCTCCTGGCCTTTAGGACTGTGAATATAGACATTGACCCAGGGAGTGTTATGGCCATTAGTACTGTGTATTAGAACCCATGTATCAGGATAAGGAGGGATATGTCCATTAGCACCATGTATAAGGACCCACGTCTCTGTATTAGGAACCATGTCGCTGTATTAGGAGGGCTATGGCCATTAGTACTGTGTATTAGGACCGCTGTCTCTGTATTGGGAGGGCTATGGCCATTAGTTCTGTGTATTAGGAACCATGTCTCTGTATTAGGAGGGCTATGGCCATTAGTACTGTGTATTAATGGCCATGTCTCTGTATAAGAAGGGCTATGGCCATTAGTACTGTGTATTACGACCCATGTCTCTGTATTAGGAGGGCTATGGCCATTAGTACTGTGTATTAAGACCCATGTCTCTGTATAAGGAGGGCTATGGCCATTAGTACTGTGTATTACGACCCATGTCTCTGTATTAGGAGGGATATGGCCATTAGTACTGTATAGAAGGACCTGTCTCTGTAGAAGGATTACTATTGCCATTACTATGGTTTATTAGGACCCATGTATCTGTATTAGGAGGGCTATGGCCATTAGTACTGTGTATTACGACCCATGTCTCTGTATTAGGACGGCTATGGCCATTAGTACTGTGTATTAGGACGGCTATGGCCATTAGTACTCCATGTCTCTGTATTAGGGAGCCCCTCTCTCTGTATAAGGAGGGCTATGGCCATTAGTACTGTGTATTAGGAGCCCCTGTCTCTGTATTAGGAGGGCTATGGCCATTAGTACTGTGTATTATGAGCCCCTGTCTCTGTATTAGGAGGGCTATGGCCATTAGTACTGTGTATTGGGAGCCCCTGTCTCTGTATTAGGAGGGCTATGGTGCTTTAGTACTCTGTATTTGGGGGCTATGGGCCATTAGTACTGTATTTAGGACCGCTCTCTGTATTTGGGGGCTATGGCCATTAGTACTGTGTATTAGGAACCATCTCTGTATTTAGGAGGGCTATGGCCATAGGAGTACTGTATTATTATTAGACCCATGTCTCTGTATAAGAAGGGCTATGGCCATTAGTACTGTGTATTACGACCCATGTCTCTGTATAAGGAGGGCTATGGCCATTAGTACTGTGTATTACGACCCATGTCTCTGTATTAGGAGGGATATGGCCATTAGTACTGTATAGAAGGACCTGTCTCTGTAGAAGGATTACTATTGCCATTACTATGGTTTATTAGGACCCATGTATCTGTATTAGGAGGGCTATGGCCATTAGTACTGTGTATTACGACCCATGTCTCTGTATTAGGACGGCTATGGCCATTAGTACTGGTATTAGGAGCCATGTCTCTGTATTAGGGAGCCCCTCTCTCTGTATAAGGAGGGCTATGGCCATTAGTACTGTGTATTAGGGAGCCCCTGTCTCTGTATAAGGAGGGCTATGGCCATTAGTACTGTGCATTAGGGAGCCCCTGTCTCTGTATTAGGAGGGCTATGGCCATTAGTACTGTGTATTAGGGAGCCCCTGTCTCTGTATTAGGAGGGCTATGGCCATTAGTACTCTGTATTAGGAGGGCTATGGCCATTAGTACTGTGTATTACGACCCATGTCTCTGTATTAGGAGGGCTATGGCCATTAGTACTGTGTATTAGGAGCAGTGTCTCTGTATTAGGGAGCCCCTCTCTCTGTATTAGGAGCAGTGTCTCTGTATTAGGGAGCCCCTCTCTCTGTATTAGGAGCAGTGTCTCTGTATTAGGGAGCCCCTCTCTCTGTATTAGGAGGGCTATGGCCATTAGTACTCTGTATTAGGATCCCTCTCTCTGTATTAGGAGGGCTATGGCCATTAGTACTCTGTATTAGGATCCCTCTCTCTGTATTAGGGGGGCTATGGCCATTAGTACTCTGTATTAGGATCCCTCTCTCTGTATTAGGAGGGCTATGGCCATTAGTACTCTGTATTAGGGAGCCCTCTCTCTGTATTAGGAGCAGTGTCTCTGTATTAGGATCCCTCTCTCTGTATTAGGAGGGCTATGGCCATTAGTACTCTGTATTAGGATCCCTCTCTCTGTATTAGGAGGGCTATGGCCATTAGTACTCTGTATTAAGATCCCTCTCTCTGTATTAGGAGGGCTATGGCCATTAGTACTCTGTATTAGGATCCCTCTCTCTGTATTAGGAGGGCTATGGCCATTAGTACTCTGTATTAGGATCCCTCTCTCTGTATTAGGAGGGCTATGGCCATTAGTACTCTGTATTAGGATCCCTCTCTCTGTATTAGGGGGGCTATGGCCATTAGTACTCTGTATTAGGAGGGCTATGGCCATTAGTACTCTGTATTAGGAGGGCTATGGCCATTAGTACTCTGTATTAGGATCCCTCTCTCTGTATTAGGGGGGCTATGGCCATTAGTACTCTGTATTAGGGGGGCTATGGCCATTAGTACTCTGTATTAGGGGGGCTATGGCCATTACTATGAGAGGATACAGACAGACGGATGCTGGCCGCACTGCGCATGCGCACTCCCCGCTCCATGGACAGGCTCCCATTAGCCGTGTTCCTATTCGGATTGCCCGCCCGGTGCCCAGCCCGGTCCCCCCGCTGGCCGGCTCACCTCGGGTGTCGGTGTGTGACGGTGTCGGTCGGAGGAGCCGGGGCAGGAGACTCTTCCACCTCCTCCACCGCCGCCACCTCCTCCTCCCAGCAGCGCTGACTGAGATCCCCCTCCAGCGCTATTCGCACTATCACAGGCCCGCTCCGCTCATTGGCCGAGCCGGCGGGGGGATCGCCCAATCACAGCCCTCTGACGTCACCGGGGAGCGGGGAGGGGATGGCGGTGGCTGGACACGGCTATGGAGCGGGGGCGTCCTGCGGGGTCATTCACCTCGAGCATGGAGACACATGGAGCGGGATCGGCCGGGCCGGATGGGGGAGCGCTGGGTGTGAGGGGCAAGCCTTAACATGAGCCCTGCCAGGGCTTCCTGCTCCCTACCTCCTCACCATCAATGGCAGAGCGCTTATAGTGTGCACTGATCCAGTGTGTGTGTGTGGGAGCCAGTGTGTGTCTGGGAGTCAGTGTGACCCAGTGTGTGTGTGGGAGTCAGTGTGATCCAGTGTGTGGGAGTCAGTGTGACCCAGTGTGTGTGGGAGTCAGTGTGACCCAGTGTGTGTGGGAGCCAGTGTGACCCAGTGTGTGTGTGTGTGGGAGCCAGTGTGATCCAGTGTGTGTGGGAGTCAGTGTGATCCAGTGTGTGTGGGAGTCAGTGTGACCCAGTGTGTGTGGGAGTCAGTGTGACCCAGTGTGTGTGGGAGTCAGTGTGATCCAATGTGTCTGGGAGTCAGTGTGATCCAGTGTGTGTGTAAGTCAGTGTGACCCAGTGTGTGGGAGTCAGTGTGACCCAGTGTGTGTGGGAGTCAGTGTGATCCAGTGTGTGTGGGAGTCAGTGTGACCCAGTGTGTGGGAGTCAGTGTGAACCAGTGTGTGTGGGAGTCAGTGTGATCCAGTGTGTGGGAGTCAGTGTGATCCAGTGTGTGTGGGAGTCAGTGTGATCCAGTGTGTGTGTGGGAGTCCGTGTGATCCAGTGTGTGGGGGAGTCAGTGTGATCCAGTGTGCAGTGACCCAGTGTGTGTGTGGGAGTCAGTGTGATCCAGTGTGTGTGTGGGAGTCAGTGTGATCCAGTGTGTGTGTGGGAGTCAGTGTGACCCAGTGTGTGTGGGAGTCAGTGTGATCCAGTGTGTGTGGGAGTCAGTGTGATCCAGTGTGTGTGTGAGTCAGTGTGACCCAGTGTGTGTGGGAGTCAGTGTGACCCAGTGTGTCTGGGAGTCAGTGTGTGGGAGTCGGTGTGAGCCAGTGTGTGGGAGTCGGTGTGAGCCAGTGTGTGGGAGTCGGTGTGACCCAGTGTGTGTGGGAGTCGGTGTGACCCAGTGTGTGTGGGAGTCGGTGTGATCCAGTGTGTGGGGTGATTGTGACTCAGTGCTTGGCGGGGGTCCGTGTGACCCAGTGCCTGTGAGGGGTGCAGTGATCCAGTGTCTGGGAGTCTGTGCAGTGACTCAGTGTCTGGGAGTCGCATGCAGTGATCCATTGTGCAGGGTGCATTGGCAGTATTGATCCGAATGCCTGGTAGTTGGAGTGCGCAGTGATCCAGTGTCTGGTCGTTGGTGCTCAGTGTCTGGGAGTCGGTGCGGAGTGATCCAGTGTCTGGGAGTCGGTGCGCAGTGATCCAGTGTCTGGGAGTCGGTGCGCAGTGATCCAGTGTCTGGGATACAGTGTGATCCAGTGTTTGGTAGTCAGTGCGCAGTGATCCAGTGTCTGGGAGTCTGTGCGCAGTGATCCAGTGTCTGGGAGTCTGTGCGCAGTGATCCAGTGTCTGGGAGTCGGTGCGCAGTGATTCAGTATCTGAACTAGGAGTCAGTGATTCAGTGTCTGGGATTCAATGTGCAATGATTCAATATCTGAACTAGTAGTCGGTGCGCAGTGATCCAGTGTCTGGGAGTCGGTGCGCAGTGATCCAGTGTCTGGGAGTCGGTGCGCAGTGATCCAGTGTCTGGGAGTCTGTGCGCAGTGATCCAGTGTCTGGGAGTCGGTGCGCAGTGATTCAGTATCTGAACTAGGAGTCAGTGATTCAGTGTCTGGGATTCAATGTGCAATGATTCAATATCTGAACTAGTAGTCAGTGTACAGTGATCCAGTGTCTGGGAGTCAGTGTCCAGCGATTCAGTATCTGAGCTGGGAGTCAGTGTGCAGTGATTCAGTATGTAAGCTGAGAGTCAGTATACAATGATCCAGTGTCTGGGAGTCAGTGGGATCCAGTGTCTGGGAGTCAGTGTCCAGTGATCCAATGTCTGGGAGTCAGTGTCTGGGAGTCAGTGTGCAGTGATTCAGTATCTGAGCTGGGAGTCAGTGTCCAGTGATCCAATGTCTGGGAGTCAGTGTACAATGATTCAGTTCCTGAACCGGGAGTCAGTGATCCAGTGTCTGGGAGTCAGTGTGGAGTGATCCAGTGTCTGGGAGTCAGTATCTGAGCTGGGAGTCAGTGTACAGTGATCCAGTGTCTGCTAGTCAGTATGCAGTGATTCAGTATCTGAGCTGGGAGTCAGTGTGCAGTGATTCAGTATGTAAGCTGAGAGTCAGTATACAATGATCCAGTGTCTGTGAGTCAGTGGGATCCAGTGTGTAAGCTGGGAGTCAGTGTCCAGTGATCCAATGTCTGGGAGTCAGTGTCTAGTGAACCATTATCTGAGCTGGGAGTCAGTGTACAGTGATTCAGTATCTGAGCTGGGAGTCAGTGTCCAGTGATCCAATGTCTGGGAGTCAGTGTCCAGTGATTCAGTATCTGAGCTGGGAGTCAGTGTTCAGTGTCTGGGAGTCAGTGTCCGTGAGTCAGTGTGCAGTGATTCAGTATCTGAGCTGGGAGTCAGTGATCCAGTGCCTGGGAGTCAGTGTGCAATGACTCAGTGTCTGAGCTGGGAGCCAGTGATCCAGTGTCTGAACTGGAAGTCAGTGTGATCCAGTGTCTGAGCTGATCCGTGTGAATGTACCATTGGTCCTCCAGGTGTGTATCGATTAATAACCTTTAAGTCTAGCTAGTAGCATAGGACTTGATATTTTGAACCATACAAGAGGCATACCCTATTCAAAGGTCTTGCATTGTTCATGTGATCATTCAGCCATAGTGATTTACAGCGTTGTATGCTCACTTTGAGCACTACATACAGCTCATATATCAGTCTTGGACCACTAAATATAGGTTCAGGAGGGGAGCCCCTTTAATCTATTGCAAACAGGAATTTAGACATTTGTGCGCCAAAACTAAAGGACATTCCATGCCGTCCTAATGGTGTTACATATTGCAGGACAGCATGCGATATCCTAACAGTGGCAGGGGATTAGGTGGTTTTGGTGTATATGCCATGCACCTGCATCTCACTGCTCAATTATCTGCCATTTAGGACTTAAAGGAACACTCCAAACATTTAGAGCACTTTATGTTTGAAGAGTTTGCCCTTTTTTTAAATGTTACAAATGTTTCATTGAGCTGCATTGGGAAGTCTGTGATTGGACAGCCACAGCTGGGTTAGAATAGGAGGGCTTGCAAAGTCACAGACAACAATGTGCAACTTTTTCAAGCTGTTTTTAGATATAACCTCAATGGAAAAAAATGCATAATTAAATGCATGCATGTTTTCACTGTGGGTCAATCTACTAAATAGTGATTTTTTTTTTATGTGAGCAGTGGAAAGTTCCTTTAAATCACTTTATTTATTCAAACAATGTCACAACTCTTCTGCCTATAACACAGTCTCGCTACACAGTTCCTGAAAAAAGCCTACGTTTTCTTTTAGCTTCCCTTATTGCACAGTTAATTTGGAATTTCGTATATGCGCTGTTAATCGCCTGCAACAACCTTCTCTATGTGATTAAAGTCCAACTAACCGTGCAGGTGATAAGATGTTGTAAAGTAAACACACTGTGCTGTAAGATCTGATTGAAAATGAAACCAATTTTTTCCCCACTATGTGAGACACAGGCAGGAGAGGTGTGATTAGAGCTATATAAACAGAAACAAAACGTGACGCCTTAATGGCAGAGAATTGAGAAGTGAGACTTTGTGGACATGCACCAAAACTACCTAAGTTCTTGGGTTGCTTAGAGCGTCTTAGTGCAAAATGCTCTAAATGCAGAGTCTCAGGGTTAAAGGTTAACTTCCTATGAAGAACCACAATTTGTATCCTTAAGAAGTCAATAAAATGTGTAACTTTGAAATAAATAGCAACTTGTTGTCTAGGGTGGACTTGCTGAATTTTGGTTCAAGATCAACAGAATTACTTTAACCCTTCCAATGCTGCTGGAGAAACCGAGGATAGCTGTGAGGCTCCTTGTAAAAATATTTTATTGACAATGAAGTGAAACGTGCTTGTCGTGTCTCAGAATGAGCGGGTAGATTTGGATTTTGGGGTTCCTCTGGGATTTTGTCAAAATAAATTAAAATGATTTGACAAAAAACTAGGGACTGGAAACGGAGCCTCATTGCGATTTTACATTTTTTTATTATTATTTCTATACAACACCTTCACAACATAGTGTTAACATCCTATATGAAGTTGTCCATTTAACGTGTTCACGATGAATAATATTTTAGGGGATGCTCTTTAAGATTTGTTCTGTCACTTGTATTCTGTCTGTGTCTGTCGTAAATAAACAAAGATTATCAAGAAATACTGAGAGATGAAGTTATCCCTTCTAGCAATCAAGTGACCCCTTTATTAAAGAAAAAGATTGATTTTAACAATTTTATAAAACAAACAAACGGCACATATTTGTTCTTGCAAATGGACTAATGAAGGTAATTCTTAATGCGATCACACCCTTTACTGCCAGGTATTATTCACATTGCTGAACCAACTTTCTAGTGGAGACTTCGTAAAAGAAAAATGAGCCAACATTCTAAAACTGAAGCCATGGTTTCCATGATAATTCCTCTAATTGTATAACTTTTTGCCTGACTTTTTTGTTCACAAGAATTTTATAAATCTCTTTGTCTAACAGATACAGAGCGTTATGCCCATTTTATAGCATTTAAAAGGTTACTAGCCATCAGCAGTATTGCATTCCTCTAGCTAAGGTTTTGCCTTCAGGCAAACATTACCTGTAAAAATGTGCTTGTCCCATCAGGTTTAGCATTCGATCAGCGTGTGGAGTTATTTTGATTTCTATTAACACCTTAAATGCTGGGGCTGTGTTTCAAAACACTGGTGCAGTGCAATGCATTATGTAGCCCCAAGGGTTAGTTATTAAACTGATTGTTTAACGCATTGCACAGCATTACCATACACAGTCGCTGCAAGTAAGGTTTTTGTTTTTACTGAATGGGGTGTTGTGGAGAGGTGGAAGCATTAGCTAAAATAACAGGCTGAACAGTGTCCAATCAAACTATTGTAAACTAATCTACTTATTGAAATCACCACGGCTTACAATTTGGCCACTAAGCCCCAAAGTTCCCATTTGGGGGTGGTGGGGTAGTATGAACTGTGTGCTTGGGATTGCGAAGAGTGTATTTCCATGGTGTCTGAGTGTGAATGCATGGTGTATTTATGTAGTGTTCCGGGGATATATGTGGTTTATTTTATGTACAGAGTATTAGAAGGAAATATCTGTAAAAGTCTTGATTTTGTGCTTCACTTTTCCTTATCCCTTGTAGTGGTCCCCATTTCAACTACACTTTTGCCTCGTTTCCACTGAGCGGTTCGGTACGGTTCGCTATTTTGGGTGTTTCCATTATGAAAGTAGTCCATACAAGCGAACCGTACCGATCCATTCAGGGTCCTGCTTCAGATGTAGGGTCATAGGAAATGGAACGGTTCAGTTAGGGCTGAGCTACTATACAATCCATTGATTGGTGGACAGGAAGAGCATTTTTTCTAAACCCTGCATGGCCCTGAAAGGTCTGACTTGCAGTGGAAACGCTCACCAGAATGGGCTGGTCCATTCTAAACCTTCCAAACTGTACCGAACCGATCCACTCAGTGGAAACAAGGCATAAGTGTCTCTGCCCTGGTTAACCCTCCCATTGTGACTTCACTTACTGCCCTGTGATAAAAAAATATCTCTGAATTCTAGGGTTTCAAGCTGAAGCACTGAACATACTGACTCCTACCATCATGGCCACTTCAAATCACTGAAGTGGTTGTAGTAACCCTCTAAGGAGGAGGAATGGAAACATTGGGAGATCATTCAAAATTTCATGTTCTGGAAAATGGTCCAAAATTATAAAGAAAGTTGAGAACTCACCGTGGGAATCAGCAGGATTATTCCAAATGGGATTGTTCCACCTTGATAACGTTTCCCCTTCTTTTCCATTGTCCCACCTTTAATCTTAATTTACGTTGAATGTGTGGTTCTTCTATGACCAGGGCATACCATGCGCATTACTTGGATACCCACAATGCCATGCATACACGGAACTTTGGAAGGGCACATATGTGAAGCATATAAGTTATGCACATGGGAGTTTAAGCACTCGAAAACCAATCTGTAAGTGAATATTTTTTGTAAAATAAAAATATGCCCATAATTTAGAATAAATGTGTACGAGCACATTAGTTATTCAGCTCCTGAAATATGAAAGCATTGAAGATATGGATCAATAAAAACATGGCAGCTCCAAAGAGAGAGAGGCTCACGTAAGTATACTTCAATACCCTGGGATCCACCATGTAAGTGGACATGTCAGTTTTGGGGTACTGTGCAAAAAATGCAAAGACCCCAAAAATTAACAGTTCCACTTTAACCTAAACAAAACTTTCAAGCTCTGTAGAATTTGGCTGTTATGAATTACATTTAAGATCAAATGGAATTTATGGGAATATGTAATTGTTATCTATGTTAATTGGCTGCTTCTGCTCTATAACTAAAACCTAAGGTTAGCCAAGAGTCAGATTACTCACACTGACTTATGAAAAAAAGAATCATGGCAAAAGCATTCAATGCTAATTAATATTCTGCTTGGGCATTCAAAAAGATGGGCAATAAGGTAAAGCAGGCCATACATTTATACAATAACTAACAACAGAAAACCCCCAACATAGAAATAGGGGAACAAGTTTATTAGACAGAAAAGCACCATTATAAATCCACTTTTATTATAATTTTCAAACAAAACGTTTATTAGAATTTTACAATTACTATTTTAACACAAATCTCATATACTTATTTTCGTTCACAGTCATCTTTAGAAAATGCACACACTATGCACCATAACCATTACAGTTCATTGTAGTAGTTATGGTGCAACAAGTCTTTGGATGATGCCACCCTGTGTCACGGCCCCCGGCTCGCTGCCATCTGCGTCCGTGCCCGACCGGCACGACCGCACCAACTCACTGAGCTTACCTGCTCAGCAGCGAGCCGGGAACCGCTCCTCCACGCCGCTTGGGGAAATCCAAGATGGCGCCGACCATGAGGTCACGTCCATCCAAGCCTCCACCCCCCAAAATTATACGAACGTGCGCGTGACGTCACAACGTCGAAGCACGTGCACGTTCTGGGGTCAGAGGTCACCCTCTGACCAATCAGAGCCTAGAGAGGGATATTTAAATCCCTAATTCACCCCAGTACCTTGCCGTGTCGTGGTTTCTCGTCCCTGGTTTCCTGAGAGTGCGTTTTTCCTTGTGATATTGATATTCTGATATTCTGATCTTGGCTATTCCTGGTTATTCCGATTTCTGGTTCCCCTGACTTGGCTTGTTGAAACGGTATTGTGTATTTCTGGCTTCCTTGACCTCGGCTTTCCCTTTGACCATTCTCTGTCTCCAACGTATTAATCCGGCCATTCTAAGGTCCGGTTTATGTTCTATCCTTTTATTTCCTTTCTTATTTCTTTGTATAGGTTTACATAGTTTCTGCGTGTTGGACCACACTAGCAGCCATGACATTACGACAGGGCCATGGATCCTGCGGAACTATGTAAACATTTGATAGCCTGTGAGAACAGGGTGGAGGATATGGACCACAGGTTAGATCAGTTTGCCCAAGCGTTCCAGACCTTGCTCCAGAGAACTGCTTATCTGGAGGCACCCCCAGTACCACCTGTAGTTCCGCCACATATACCTGCACCTGTAGTATATAAACCTCCATCCATAACCCTTTCACTTCCCCCTCATTATGGAGGTAATTCTAAAGAATTCAGAGTATTCCTTAACCAAATTGAATATAATTTCGAGGCTTCCCCTGGTTCCTTCCCTACAGATAGGTCAAAGATTGGCTATCTTATGAACCAATTAACAGGCAAGGCCTTAACCTGTGCCAATCCCTTATGGGAGAGTGGAAATCCAGTTGCCCGTCATTATAATGAATTTTTAACGGCATTTAAAGCCACTTTTGAGCCAAAGGGAAAAGAGAAAAACGCTGCCAGAGCCTTAATGAGAATAAAACAAGGCACCCGCTCTGTAGCCAATTACGGCATAGAGTTCAGGACATTAGCTTCTGAGGTTGACTGGACCAATAGTGGTTTGGTGGCTGCTTTTTCGGAAGGTTTAGCTGAAAATATACAAGATGAAACTGCAGCCAGAGACCTTCCGGTTAATCCTAATGATTTTATTGCATACATGATTGACATTGACAACAGGCTCAGAGAGAGGGAGAAAAACAAACAGCGTACTAGACGTACAAACTTGTCTATAGCCCCTCGTTTCTCTAACTCAGTGACTGTTAGTCCTGCTCCACCTGCAGAAGCCGAACCAATGCAATTGGGCATTACCAAACTCACTGAGGCGGAGAGACAATACAGACACAATGAGGGGTTGTGCCTATATTGTGGCAAAAGAGGACATCAGAGGCTTTCTTGTCCAGTACGGCCGGAAAACTTGCACACCTAAGGCACGTTCGGGGACCGACCTTAGGTGTGATGTATATGTCCCCTAAATTGACTAAGAACCGCTTTCCTTTAAAAATCACTATGTTTTGTAAGAAAACTACTGTTCAGTGTGAGGCCATGATTGACTCTGGGGCAGCGGAGAATTTCCTTGATAAGAAATTTTCTGCCAAACATCTTCTGCCTTTAAGGCAGAAAGACAGACCCATAGCAGTAGAGGCTATCGATGGCAGACCTCTTACTCAACCTCTCATCACACACGAAACTATACCAATCACTGTCTCAGTAGGTTTCTTACATTCTGGTTTTTCACATTATATCTTCCCCTACATGTCCAATAATACTTGGTTTTCCTTGGCTCCAGAAACACAATCCATGTCTAGATTGGGTTGAAGGAGAGATTGTGAGTTGGGGAAAGAGTTGCAGAGGTCATTGCTTAAAACAGGTGCCTAAACGAATCGGTACCATCAATGTACCTATAGCACCTCCCTTAACCACAGAAATCCCACCGCAGTATTTGGACTTAAAAGAAGTATTTAACAAGGTTCAGTCTGAGGTATTACCTCCACATAGTCCCGACGACTGTGCCATTAA